AGGTCACGTCAGGCGGGGGCGATCCGGGGAGCGGGCGAGAGACTGGGCGGGCAGCAGGGGAGCGAGCCCGCGTGGCGCCCGGCAGGTCCCCAGCGTGGCTGGGCGTGACTCCCGCGGGAGAAAGTCCCGGCCCCCGGCTGCAGCACCATGAACAGCTCCCTGGCACCGCAGGTGCATTTCGCGGGCGGCTCTCAGCCCCACGACTCACGCGAGTGGAAGGCGGTGATCCCCGCTTTGCTGGGCGTCATCTGCCTGGCGGGCTTGGCGGGGAACGCGTGTGTCATCGGCATCCTGCTCTACAACGCCAGGCGAGGGAAACCCTCCCTGATCCACTCCCTGATCCTCAACCTCAGCCTGGCGGATCTGCTCCTCCTGCTCTTCGCTGCGCCCCTGCGGGCTGCCGCTTACTCCCGCAGCGCCTGGACCCTGGGCTGGTTCGTCTGCAAAACCTCCGACGGGTTCCTCCACACGTGCATGGTCGCCAAGAGCCTGACGACCGCCGTGGTGGCCAAGGCTTGCTTCATGTACGCCAGCAACCCGGCCAAGCAAGTGAGTATTGAGCCCCGCACGATCTGTGCGGTGCTGCTGGCCACGTGGCTGGTGGCCCTGGTGAGCTCCCTGCCGCTCTGGGTCTTCAGCACCCTCCGGGAGCTCGCGGCGGGCTCGCCCGCGTGCGTCGTGGCCGTGCCAGCCCCCGCCCGGGAGTTCATGGCTGCCTTTGTCAAGCTCTCCCCCCTGCTCGTGTTCTGCGCGCCCCTGCTCTGCGCCTTCCTTTATTTCTGGCGCGCTTATGGCAGGTGCCAGCGCAGGGGGACCAAGACCCAGAACCTGAGGAACCAGATCAGATCCAGGCGCCTTACACTCATGCTGCTGAGCGTCACTGTCACCTTGGCCGTGATGTGGCTGCCGGAATGGATATCCTGGCTGTGGGTTTGGCACCTAAAGCCAGCAGGCCGTTCTCCCCCCGAAGGCTTCCTGGCTCTGACCCAAGCCCTTATGTTCACCATCTCTTCTGCCAACCCTCTCATCTTCCTGGTGATGTCTGAGGAATTCAGAGAGGGCTTTAAGGGCTTGTGGAAAAGGCTGACCCTTAAAAAGCCTCTCCCTGCCACAGACAACCAGGAAATCCCAGCTGCTACCTCTGAGGTTCTCCCCGATTCGGTCCCTTCTCCAGAGCCAGTGACTGCTGAGCAAGAGAAAGAACTCCCAGCTGCCCCTCAGGCCTTAGAAAGCCTGGAAAAGAAGGAGATGCCCGTCTTTCCAGATGTAGAGCAATTCTGGCATGACCGAGAAGCAGCTCCCGATGCTCAAGACAATGACCCTATTCCTTGGGAGCACGAAGAGCAAGAGACAGTAGGCTGTGATCAATAAGGTGGTTGGAGACTAGAAAGCTACAGAAGTTTTAAGCAGAGGAAGGGTCTTGTCAGTATAGTTTTGTTACTTACCAGTGTGCTTAAGGGATACTGAAGACATGCAAATAATGTTACACTGATGAAATTCTTACCTGTGCTCATTAAATGTTTGATTTCCTAATCTGTTACAATATTCATACTTGCAGTATTATTGTAACCCTGTTGGTCCCTGGATATTGCAGACTTGAAGAAGAGCTCTGTGTAAACTCCAAAGCTTGTCTCTTTCACCAACAGAAGTTGGTCCTGTAAAAGGTATCACCTCACCCACAATATTGGGTGTGTGTGTGTGTGTATGTATGTGTGTATATCAGGGCAATGCATTTATAGTTAAAATCCTGACTCAAAAATGTTGGTGAAGTCTCTTCTCTGAAATACTGATGTTTTGCACTTCAGTAGCCAAAATGGAGTTAGTTTTTTTTTTTTAAAAGGTGTTTGAGAGACACGGAATTCAGAGAGCAGAAATAAGGAGAACTGACACAAACCTAACGAAGTAGTTCTTAACAAGCAAGGACAAACTGGTGAACTGAATTTCAGCATCATTCTAAATATCAGAAAGCTAAAACATTAGTATTTACAAACATACAGTACAGATCATGTACCTTTTTGAATTTTCTGGTTTAAGTGCTGCAGCGACTTCCGTGGAATTCAATAGTTGTATGGAGTGACAATGCAGAATTTGACTGCTGCAGTTGAAATATTTTCAGAAATATTTTTTGAGACAACTTAAAACATGCACTGAGGTCTGAAAAGGTAGGTGAGGTTTGCTAACAGGCCAGAGTTGTCTTTCAGAACCAAAACAATAATCCCTTCTTTCTGAATGTGCATTATAGAGATGAAGGTATATTTAGGCACCTTGTTTTAAGCTAGACATGATTTCTCCCTTCCTCAATGAAAATGTTTCATGCCCATTTTGTAAAGCACTTATAAGAGTTGTCAATGTCAGTTTGTTTTCAACTGTGAATAAATAAAGTGGTTGGTTTGCCTTACTTAGATCCAAAAATCATTATCTTCAGTTCCCTGAAATTCAAAGGAGACATTTCTTCTAGTTAAGTAGCAGTGAAGGGACTGTTTTATAAAGCTGTGCTGATATGGTCATAGAGATAAATTCAAGAGGAATTAATAGAATAGCATTGTATCTTAACATGGTGATTGGTTTCTATGTGACACTCCAAAATGTAGAGTTGAGAGAATTTCTCACCAGTGCTAAATGCTGTCCTCAGACCTCTCCAGCTCTAGTGAATTTAGCCATTGGTCCTACCTTGTGAATTACCCCAAGTATTTGGAAATAGGAGCTATCCTACTCATTGGAGCAGCCTCAGACTCTCAGCACCAGACAATGCCCATTATGTATCACAGACAAGAGCAAACCTTAACATGACTGTATGGTTGTATAGCTTAACAAAGAGAAAGATGAGGGGCAACTTCATTAGTCTATAAATACCTATATGGGGAACAAATATTTAATAAGTTTTCAATCTAGCAGACAACAGTATAACACAATCCAATGGCTGGAAATTGAAGCTAGACAAATTCAGACTGGAAATAAGGTGTAAACTTCCAACTGTGAGAATAATTAAACATTGGTACAATTTAACTAAGGGTCATGGTGGATTTTCCATCACTGACCATTTAAGATCAAGACTGGATGTTTCTTTACAAGATCTGATCTGGGAATTATTTTGGGGAAGTTCTGTGCTATACAGGTCAGACTAGATGATCTTATCTTGCCTTCTCATCTCTGAATTAATGAGACAGATGTGGTGTTGTCAGGCAGAGTTTGAGCTCAACCCTTTTTTTTCTGATTAACTTTCCAGTGAGTTTGAGTCTCAAGACTGCAGCAATGGCTGACAGCGTTTCATCTGTGCATAGGTAGGAGGTCACATCTGTTCCAATCCACTAGTTATCCTAGCTGTGTACCTCCAGTTTAGAGTATTTTACCACCACCACACTGGAGCTACACTTGGAAGTCCACTCAAATTTCAGCTAGCGCACAATCTGGCAGGCCTGCTTTCTTACTAGCTTCACACATTAGATGGAAGACACCATTATGCCCAAGCAGGCATGGGCTTTCAGTTGGATTGACTGCAATTCAGCGTACTGATCTATAAAGTCTGTCATGATTTGGATACCTGGCATCTCAGGATACGTCTACACTGCAAAGAATAATCCACAGCTGGCTCATGCCAGCTGATTCAGGCTTGGGCTGCAGGGCTATTTTGTTGCTGTGTAGAAATCTGTGCTTGGGCTGGAACCCAGGCTCTGGAAACCTGAGGTTGGAATAGTCCAAGAGCCTGGTCTCCAGCCTGGGCCCAGAAGTCTACACGGCACTGAAATAGCCCTGCAGCCCAAGTCAGCTGGCATGGACTAGCAATGGGTTTTTCTTTGCTGTGTAGACATACCTTGAGAGGCCACCTCACTCCCCATGCTTCATTCTGGCAGATCTGACATTCACATACCACTAAATTCCACATTTGCATGGGAGTAGACTAGAAGCAGGTCATTCTTAATCAGAGGGCCCTTTACATTGCTCATTTAGTGAGATGTTAAGAGGGGATGGGAAGGAACAGATGGTTTTGTCCAGCTATGCTGGTTTACAAACCCAATAAAGAGATTTTATTTTTTAAGTATAGTGGGGGATGGGGTGCACTATTAGTACTGTGCTTAAGGTTGTAGCTTGATGTCAAATTTTACAAGATCTTACACGATAGTTTGTGTGTGTGTCTTAAGGAGGAGCTGGGGAGAACGTATCACTTTTTTATGCTTTTGATTTTTAGGTTTTATTGCTAGTGCATTTATAGAAAAACGGATTAAATGTTTGCTCCTTAAACACATTTTTGCAGTGTTAATTTGGGCAAAATTTTCTTAGATCTGTCTGTGATCTGGATTCTCTTGAGTTCTTGGAATTTAGATCATGTCAGTTTGTGTGTGAGAAAAGTGCCTAACATGGGAGGGCCTATTAGTACTACTGTAAAATACATGTTAATAAACTATGTAAGAGGAGAATTTTCGCCTTTACCTAAACTTCATGGGCAATACAACTTTGTTAAAACTACAGAAAGTTGACATCATATTCTAGTGAACAAGACCCCCCAGCTGGCAAGGAGTTAGCCACTTGATTTTTTTGGGACCTGGAGCACCAGCAGTCTCACATAACAGCAGTCCAACAAAAATTCATGACAAACCGATTTCTCATTCCAAAAAGCTTTTTTTGTGGAGAAAGGAAGGACGAGTCAAATGGAAGAGAGCTGTGTCATATCAGACATTACCATTACCACAAAGACACATAGATTAAGTACCGAAGGAATACTCGCTTTCTTTCAAGATCTCAAGTACAATGAACAAAAAAGGATTGAGGGATTAAGCAAACACACACAGATTGAGATTTTTGCTGTCTTTCAAATTTTGTATTGTATTTGCACTTGAATACGATGTTCTAGTATCAAAATTACATTTGTCTACATGATTTATCACTAACTCATTTTGTCTCATTAGGCAAATGGGCTGTTTCAGGATAGCTAGTGTTAGTTTGGATTTGTTGTTGTTAAAGAGACATCTTTGAGATTTAACAAACTTATTAAGCATGTTCAATCCATATATAAAAAGGGTTGGTTTATTGTAGTTCAAATACATAAACTAAACAATCCCAACATTTCAAAATTAAACTTTAGAAACACAAGTTTAACATTCATAACAGGAGTATAGTTTACAAGAATTACCCAGAAGGGAAATCCACAGTCTAATCCAGAAGTCAGTAAAGATCACTTTATGGTAAATAAAAATATGTTTATACAACCGTCCTGTTCTGGGAACCATTGTTATTTACTGTGTTTCCAATTTTGAGCAAAAAATTATCAGACAAATCTTCACTTGGGCAAAAGAAACCTGATTTTGCCTGTACTTCAAAGTGGGTGGGAGGGCGGGGGGAGAAATAAAGCAGACCCGTGAACAAATTCAGAATGGTGTTTAATTTGGTCTCTGTGGGCCTAATTCTTCACTCACATCACTGTCACTCTATAGACTTTAATAGACTTAATTCTGATTTACAAGGGTGAAAGCAAATAGAGAATCAGACCCTTTGTTTTCAGATTTAAGATTTTTTTTTACTGTTGCCTTCAGCACTCAATAGTTTAATTTGAGAGAGTGTTTTGTCTGTTAAAACAGCTGAACTTGGGTAACCATTAGGAGGAAATTTGTGATACTTGTGTAGTTTAGTTCAAACCACAAATGTCAATCATCCTTAAGACTTGCATATATAACACTGCTGAAAAGAATGCCTCCAAATATCACTGACATCCACACCTCATATACAGATATTCCATTGTTCTGAGATCTAAAATTACTAGACACAGCCTGCATGGTTGGGGTTTTTGTCAGTCATGCCACACAAAGAAAAGCATAAATATCTTAAGTGTTCTCTTTGCACAGAGACCATTTTATGTTCACAAATGCTGCTGCTTCCTCTGTTCCTCAGATGGTTTTCAATAGGTTCACGGTAATGTAGATGTAAAAACCGGACAGATGGCTCATGCAAGCTTTTGAATTAACAGACACCCCATTATGAGAGTATTTCATAATTATTTTGTTGTTCGTCTTGTAGGCTCTGAAGCTGTGGGAGGTGGAGGGGGACCTCGGCGGTCCAGGTCATCTACATAGGATACGATGAGCTTGCGCCTCTCCTCTGGCACACAGTCAAGTACCAGATAACGCTTGTCATTCTGTAAAATCTTTTCTACATCTTTCAGGTGCTGGTCGGATTCTTGGATCAACTTTTTGGATCTGAAATGAAGTATAACAGTTACCATCTGGGCAGCTGTCTGGGAGCCTACATAAAATGCATTGGGAATCTTAGTCCAGTTACTGGTGGTAGATGTCCAAATTACAAAAACTACCCGCACCATTAGAACCTCTCTTGACAGTGCCAGCAGATAGGTCAAGCGCTGAAAGGGCATAGAGACTGAGCTATCCTCTCACCTATACAGATGCCCCATCAGGTCAGGGGTGAGGCACATTGGCAGGAATGCGTGTGTAAAAAATCTTGCACTGCCACTGCCTGTGCTGTATCTGTTCTGTGGATAAACAGAAGACTTCAGTCTTAATGGCCGCCAGAACCATTTATCAGCATTAAATGAACCACAAAAATGTAAAAATAAGAAAAAAATAATCACAATTGAAATTAAGCACTCAAGAAGAAGCAAACTATTAAAACATGGACGTTAAATTCCCAGTTGCAGCCCAGTTTGATTGATGCATCAATCTGGCTACCGCATCAATTTCAGACTGCAATTCAGCCCACTGAGAACAGCAGCAACTGAAATAGAGCTCCAATACTTTACATACAGCACTGGCTGCAAAGGGAAAAAAGAAACTGATTAGGATCTAATAAACCTAGTCAGCACCCTTCTACCTCGAGCTCTTTTGCTTCTGGAATGGGAATCTGCCTAGGCCCGTAACATTTTGCAGTAGGCTCCAGACCAGACTGACTTCAACAATTAACTTATTTGTAAAGCTAATACTCAAAGCCCACTGAAGTCAATGGGAGATTTGTTTTTATTTTAATGGGGATAGGGTTTCACCCTGTCTTTTCTCCAAACTCCCACTAACATCACTGGAAGTTTCACTGGGTATTAAGCAGAGTATTCAGCCCTAATTTTTAGGATCCTAATTAAACGGTAATTTGGCTTCACTACAGAATGAGCTGAATCGCTTGACAATGTATTCAAAATACCCCAAACAATGCTCTCAAGCAACACAAAAATCCAAAAAGCCCCTGCTATAGAATAGTTGTCAACACTTGATAATAATCAGTGCAGAAGCCAACATACAGTGATGGACCTCTCACTCTATGCAACTTCATAGGCAACCTAGTAATCTACAATTTTTGCAGTAAAGCTCCTCAGACACTGGTCTATAAATGTTAAATGGGAGGAGAAAGTGAAATTCGGTTCATCAACACGCTTAAGGTACAGTAAAGAAAAGTCTTTGCTCTTCTAAGACACTGACACACACCTGTACGTTATAAATTTGGTCTCTTTCAATAGCGTTCTGAAGTCAGCTTTGGCAGTAATGTATTTGTCTCTGATGTACTCTTCAAACTCCCTTTGTTTTTTCTGCATGAAGAAAAAGAGTAATACCATAGAAAATGTGACGGTAGATTATAAAGTATTTCATATTAATTTACAGTGTGTAAGAAATAATTTTATTATAACTAGTTTGAAGATCATTACAGAAGTTTTTTAATTAAGATTTTAAAAAAAGCAAATATCTGATTGACACAGTGATATAGTTATATTCGTGTGAAATGGAATCCATTTTGACAAGCATTCACTCTCTTTTGCTTTGGATATCGTGGGAAGGCTAGTAGCAATGAAGCAAGACTATTTCTTACCCTGTCACTGGAAGAGAACTTAATGCACCTGGGATCTTCTTTAATGATTTTTTTCACTTCTTTCCATGTTGATGTTAAAGTAATCTTTCAAAAGAGGCAAACACAGTTCAATATTACAAATTATGTTTACAGTCTAAGCATACAGTACATATGATCACTTTCCCGAGAGTCCTGAAATCCTCAAGCATAAGGGGGCAAACTAAGGACATAGTAACAATTTTCCTTTTTGAACTCGTTTTCTGTAAACTGGTGGATTTTAAGAGAAAAGTCCTCACAAAATTATGACAGTTTCTTATAGTTTAAATTTTAACAGTTCTTCCTAATGCATATTTGGATAATTTCAACAGCATGTTTGTATGCATAAAAACAGCAATGTATAGAAGCCCCAGCTCAAAGTCAGATATTCATCATTTTAATTTATTTTAGTCTACCATATAAAAAGTGATTAGAATATTAGATACTCCTCTAACCAATATTTAATAAAACTGCCTCCTGAGACTTGAAGAAAGTTATGATGAAGCCAGAATGAGATAAAAAGGAGGCAAGAAGTCACAAAATAACAAAGAAAGGAGAGAGAGGTTTAAATAGCATCGGTATAGAGTTGAAAGTTAAGAATGAATTTTGCAGTTAAGATAAAAAAGACAAAATGAAGGATAGCATTCTGGAGGCTTGCCCACCGCTATTCATTAAGACAAGTTATTGGGTAGGTAGGAACAAAGACAGAAGATTAAAATGCTCAAGACATTAAGGGACTGTGTCATAATAGAAGGTGTCAAATAATGCAACACTGAAGAGATGTGGAAAAGCCAACGGAAAATGAATGACGGTCACTGACTACAAAAACGAAACCAGGTTCAAGAGCGTGAAAAGACTGAATGTGAAAATGGACCACAACATTCAAGGTGGTTACTGTGGTATAACTGGTTAGGTGAGAAAAAGATTATTCTTTCCAGCATTCCCTTTTTTAGGGAAGTGAGGAAAGTTGGTGTGGGAGAAAAAGCCTAGGGAAGAATTATTATTGAGAACTTTAACTACAGAAGGTAAAGCTAGAGGATGCAAGTCAGAGTCATAGAGTTTAAGGCCACAAGGGACCACTAGATCATCTAGTCTGACCTCTAATACATTGTGACTGAGCAGTGCACAAGGACCCCGCAATAGCAGAGAAATAATTAAATGACATATTATCCAGATAATCCTGGCAAGGATCCTGTATCCACACACTGCAGAAGAAAGCAAAACCCCCTCAAGGTCACTGCTAGTGTGACCTGGGGGAAAATTCCTTCCCCAACCCCACATATGACGACCAGTTAGACTCTGAGCACGTGAGCAAGAACCAACCAGCCAAGCACCTGAGAGACAGAATGCTTGGTGCCACCTCAGAGCCCTGGCCCGTCCTGCCCAATATTCCATCTCCAGCCATGATCATTCCTGCTGCTTCAGAGGAAGGAGATAAAAAACCCCTTCCAGAATACACTGGGGGACAAAAAATCCCTTCTGGACCCTTGCCAGTGGCCAGCTGAAACTCTGAAACATGAGCTTTGGGAACATACCAATGTATCATCACAAGCAACCCTGTTATACAACTGCACTCATACATTTGTCCAGCTCTCTCAAAACTAATTACCGTATATACTCGTTCATAAGCCGAATTTTTTTAGTAAAGAAGGGAAGCACCAGAGAAGGGGGTCAGCTTATGAACAGGTATAGAGAGGGAGAGGTGGGACACAGCCCCTCCCCCCAACAGAGGGAGCAAGGAGAGGCAGCACAGCCAGAAGGGATGAGGCAGGGCCAGAGTCTCTCCCCTTCTGGCCATGCTGCTCTCCCCCCAGCCTCCGAAGCAGCTGCAGCTTTGGGGCTGGCAGGCTGCAGCCGTGCTACTCGGCCCCGCCCCGCCCCCAGAGTAGGCTGTGGCCGTGCCACCCGGCCCACTGGAGCACACTGCGTCCGTGCTGGAACATGCTGCGGCTGCACCGCCCCGTCTGCCGGAGCAGCTCCAGCCAGGTCAGAGACATCCTCCCCTGGCCCTCCGCAGATAAGGTGGGAAGGGATGGGATGGGGAGAGTGTGGGGCTCCCGGGCTAGGGGGTGGGGTCATGTGGGGGGTGGTCACAGGGGTTACTCCTGACTCCCAGCTTCTCCTCCCCAAAAAATTTCCCCACCAGTTGCTATCGCGGCCTGTCAGGGTAAGCAGCTCGCACACCGTGACACTTTGTTTACTTAGGTTATAATATAATATAATTAATATAATATATGGAGATATACCTATCTCATAGAACTGGAAGGGACCCTGAAAGGTCATCGAGTCCAGCCCCCTGCCTTCACTAGCAGGACCAAGTACTGATTTTTGCCCCAGCTCCCTAAGTGGCCCCCTCACGGATTGAACTCACAACCCTGGGTTTAGCAGGCCAATGCTCAAACCACTGAGCTATCCCTGCGGACACTCGAGGCAAACAAACCATCTCGGCCCACCAGTGACTTATCCTGATGGCCCAGGAGCCAAAGTTTGCTGACCCCTGAATTATAGGGTCGGCTTATGAATGGGTTATAAAATTTTTCCATTTTTACTTATCCATCTTGGGTTGTGGGTCGGCTTATAAATGAACCGGCTTATGATCGAGTATATACGGTAAGTTGTTTGTCCCTACCACTCCTACTGGGAGGCTGTTCCAGAACCTCACCCTTTGGATTGTCAGAAACCTTCTAATTTCCAGCCTGAATTTGTTCACGGCCAGTTTATATCCATTTGTTCTTGTGTCAACATTGTCCTTTAGCTTAAACAGCTCTTCACTCTCCTTGGTATTTATCCCCTAATGTATTTACAGAGAACAATCATATTCCCCCCTCAGCCTTCTTTTTGCAAGACTAAATAAGCCAAGCTCTGCCGATTTCCTCAGATAGGCCCTCCATTTCCCTGATCATCCTAGCAGCTCTTCTCTGCACCTGTTCAAGTTTAAATTAATCTTTCTTGAACATGGGTGACCAAATAAGGTCTGATCAGTGCCTTGTATAATAGCATTAATACTTCGCTATCTTCAAATGCCTGGCTCAATACACCCTAGGATTGCATTTGCCTTTTTCAAAGCCACGTCATATTTGTGTCTCAGTCTGTGATCGACCCACACACCAGGTCCCTCCTCCTCTGTTGCTTCCAAATAATCAGCCCCCAGCTTGTAGCAGAAACTCTTATTATTAGACCTTGCACTTTGTACTACTGAATTTCATCCCATTTCTGTCACTCCAGTTTTCAAGGTCATCCAGGCTTTCCTGTATAATATTCCGGCCCTCCACTGTATCGGCAATTGACTCTCAACTTTGTATCATCAGCAAGTTTCATTAGCACTCCTACTTCCTGTGCCTAGATCATTAATAAAAATATTGAATAAAACTGGTCCCAAGACCGATCCTTGAGGAACTCCACTGGACGTTTCCCTCCAATCTGATCATTCACCTTACAGCACAATTCATTGCCTTCTTCTTCTTCTTTTAGCCAATTCCTTATTCATTTACAATACTTGTACTGATCTGCATCTTCCCTAATTTAACTAATAATTTCCCATTAGGTACCCTGTCAAATGCTTTACTGAAGTCCATGTATATCCGATCAAATGCACTTCCTTATCTACAAAATCAGTTATTTTCTCAAAAGAAGGAACTCTAGTTAGGCTGGTATGATATCTTTGGTAAACCAATATTGCATTACATCCCAGTTACCATTTACCTCTATAAATTTAATTACTCTTCTCGTCACAATCTGCTCTAAAATCTTGTATAATACGGAGGTCAGACTAACAGGCCTGTAATTGCCCAGATTCCTTTCTTTCCTCTTTAAAATACACTATTCTCCAGTATTATGGTACTTCCCCCCTCCCCCCCCAACAGATTTATTAAAAATTCTTGCTACTTGACTAGCAATCTCATGGTCCCCCCGATTTGAGGGCAGTAAGCTCTTATCAGAGAGAAGCACCATATCAGATAGAAATGCTTTGAAGTTTTTCTTCCACCTCCTAAGTGGTCATTTCCATTTCTAGACACTCATTTTCATCAGCTGTACTGCCTTCATGCACAAGTCTCTTACCGCTGAAGTTTCATCCAGAAGTTGCCTAAAATGCTCCCTCTTCTTTTTGGTAAGTGCCTCAATGTGTTCATTAAAAAGCTTCTCTTTCTCTTCTCTTTCTAGCAGAGAGCCAGATTCCCACCGATGATCTTTTCGGAGCGTCCTCCTAGTATCGGACCATGACACATCTGAAGATCTCACCTGATACAAAAATTTACATTTTACAAAAACTATGTTCTTTCTCTGTTTCATTATCAGACAATTCTTCAAACACTTAGCTTCTACTTCATCAACTTTTATCTGAATTAAAACTGCATTTGGTAAGGGGAGTAAGAGACAACAACAGCTTTCATGCAGTTAGCCACTGTCAAATGCCAACCTCATGCTGCAGAATCTCACTGTGCAGCAGTTCAGATGGAGATAGATACATCCTATCTGGACTGCTCTGCCATTCTCTATAGAAAAATCAGGATCTTCCACTATGAATAATATACTGTATTAACCATATATGATCTAGAAGAGCAGCCTCTGAGATACATCATAATCAATTCCTACCAGCCACTGGGCACTTTAATTAGTGAAATGTTTACTCTCTGGAACCAGAAACAACCTCCAAGGAGCTCCTGCCAAATCTATATTACCTGCATTATGTCACTAGCAAAGATATTGGGTCAACAGAAACCAAATTTATATACTGCACCTTTCCCCCCCGCAAAAGACAACAGGACTGGAATCTGTGCTCAACCACCACCCACCTTTCAGGTATGTCCACATCTTAGATCAGCAGGCAAGAGGTTCCCCTTACATACCACGAGATTCTCATCTCACCAAGCCTGCCCTCTTAGGAAGTGCTGTTTCAAGGGTTGGATCAACTAGTGCAATAAAGTGCTCTCTGAGAAGTGGAAAGAGCTGGGTCAGATGCTATATTGGGGGCATGAGTCGGGCAGACAAAACGAGGTGAGGAAAATGCTCTTGAATCAATAAATCTCCATTTCCAACTTGTGCATTAGAGTTTCTAGTACAAAGTATTTACAATTTTAATTGCCTTTTTTGGTAATATTGTAAGAATGCACTTGCTGGATGAAACCTAAGACACCAACCGTAAGGCTGAAGCATATTTTTCCCAGCAAGACAAAAATCCTGAAAAAATAAATGTATCGTGGAAACAGAAGTTTAATGACTACAAGTGCTAATGTGCTGCTGTGTAATCAGGGAACTTATTTCTACATTAGTGTAACAATTAGATGAACTGTTCTGGCAAAGAAAGTCCTACAGTAATCAAATGAGAGAGAGAAGTGTGCAAGCCTCACCATATCAGATAGAAGTGCTTTGAAATTCTGGATAGCCTCTTCTCGTTTGTGCTGTTCACGTTCTCGATCGATTTCCTTGGTCTGCTCAGAACGAGCTTTCTGAACCTCCCTTTCTCTTTCACGCAAACTTGCCTCAATGCGAGCCTGCCTTTCCAATTCCTTTTCCTTTTCGGAGTCTAAATTCTGAATCAGAAGCAAGAGCATAATATTTTCCCATTAACAACATATAAAGAGGTAGCATCTTTCATATTTTGATTAGCTAGTCAAACAAGTTAAAAGTTGAACAGTTAATGGAAACGAGAGGATGAGTATCATTAAACAGACTGTCATTTATGAAATAGGTAAAATGAAATACACCACTTCTCAACTACCAAGGTTTGTCTGCACTTAGGGCATTTTTGAAAGAATTCCTTCTGTTGCTAACACTGACTTACCGGCAATGTTAGCAATGTTGAGAGCCATAGTGTAGACAGGGTGCTGGCTGGCAACAATAAAAGCTAATCTTGCTAAACATTTTATTTTGTGAACTTAAAGTGGAGGAAAAGCTCAACAGCGGTATTAAAAATGCTGTGCTTCAAAATATCAAAGACCATTCAACCATTTGTATGTGGCTATTGTAACATCCTTAAAGAGACATGCCTCAACCCATCCCACGGAGGAGAAATCAAACCTCAAAATGATTGTCTGAATGATGAGGCTATTCAGTTCAAGTACAACAGATAAATCTTGTGTCCATCCCACCTCTTTGGGACAGATGTTCCCCTCCTCCGCTCATGCACATGAAAGCAAAGTAGTGAGCTGAACTGTATACTGCTTTTGAGCCCCCCAAAATCCCATCATCTAAAAATAAATATTCAAAACTAATACAACTGAAAGAAAGAGAGGGGAAAGTGATGTTGTCTGATGGACCGTGCACTGGACTGCTATGACACCCTGAACAAGTCACTTCACCTTTTTGCTCTTTATGTAAAATGGAGATAATCCTTCCTTTATAAAGTGCTTTGAAATCTATCGATTAAAACCTCTATATAATAACTAAGTGCTACTGCAGCTTTTGATCTTCACTGGATGGGAGTCGGGGAAGGAAACAGATCAGAGAGCAGCCACTTTATGAAGCATGCTCCCCCGTGTAGAGACAAACTCAACTGCAAACTGCTGTGGAAATTAATGCTAGTTAGACTATTTTTAACTTCTCATTCTGGCATTAGCTCCTTGAAGAGGAAGGTAGGAACATGAAACAGAAGTGAAAGAACCAATGGAGGCACTGCATATGAGCCAACTGGAGTTCAGTTGAAAGGAAACCACATGAAAGAAGGCAACCTCTGCTGGTCTGGTTGCATTCCATGTGTATCACTACAAAAGTGATAGCATTACAAGTCTCTCAAACTTCTTAAATATATTAACAACAGTGTAGATAACAGTGAAAGTATTACCCAGCACCTAACTATTACACACATACCTTAGCTATTTTTTCAATGTATTGTTTAAAAAGGTCTTCCCTCTGTGAAGAGCTATCCACTGCTTTGTAACGGGGGTCAGTCTCTACTTTGTCCTTCACTTTGCTCCAGCGAGACTGACTGTCCAAGTGGTGATTAGACAGTAGTTCAAAGAAGTCCATTTTAATCTATATTTTAAATAGAAGATATAGGAAGAAAAACAATTCATGAGTAACAGGATTCCTGAATGTTTGCTAATAGAAAAAGAGGCAGACTTACCTCAACGAAGCGAACTATATGAATTTTACATAATAGAACATCAAAATCGCTAAAAGTATATTGAATTTCAGGGTTCATTATCACTAAAATCCACTTCCACTTTGGGTATAATTTTGTGAAATATATTAAAACAGAAACACTAGGAAGACTATCAAAATCTAAGATGAGCTGTATATCTTAAAGAAATATTCATCCGCACACTTAGTTTTCTTGCTCTATTCTTGTTGAGCTTTTAAAATATAATCCCTCCAACTTCTGTACTGCACAAACCAGTATTTCAGGGCAACCATGACACAGAAGCTAGTTAGATTTTAAACAGAGCCCAAATTAGGTAGTGCAAATTCCCACGGGTTCATGCCTCAAGTGTACAGTGGATGGAGGTATATACTGTATCTGCGATTAAATAAGAGGTCTTTGTACTGTTTCCTGTTTAAGATCAATAGTGGGATTTTAGTTACATTTAATTAAACCTTTTTTAACTGAACAAAGATATACAGAACTTAAGTATATAATGATTAAGTCTAGTCTTAAGAAGACAGATATATTCAAAAGTGGTGCCCAAATGCTGTAATTCAGCAGTTAAATTTAAAATATATTATTCACGTATAAACAAATATTTGTAGCTACTTCTTTTAAAAAATGGAAATGGCATGTTACATATAATAAAACCCTCAACACTGTACACAGCTACAACATTATGGAAGACTATTAGATCTGGTCTGATGCTAACTTTGGACCTCAGGACAGAAGAACCAAACTAGCGATACAACATCGCATCAGCAGTTGCAAGGGCAGCTACTGTACAGTTAGTAAAGATTTTTAACCCTGGGGTGGATATTCCTCCATGTCCCTTTTGGAATTTTAGGATTTTTTCTTTAATTCCCACCACTTCAAACCCTCAAGGCCCTGGCATTTAAGCCACCATCTTTCTCAATCAAGAGAACAAGCCTTCCCTTGAGAGGCAAGTTGACATCACTTGTTGAAGGGCTAGAGCCCACTGAATAGCTCAAAGCACTCTCTACCCAGGGTTAAGCATGCTGCCTTCACAGCACTACCAACCCCTGATGGCATAGGAATAAGACCATAAGTAGTTCCTTTGCTGCAGTATAATACTACTACCTAGCTTGGGCTGGCTTGGCTATATATTTTGCACTCCCCCAAAAGTCTCAGCTCCCACATACAGAGGTTAACAATGGGAGTTGAAGACTAATGTAAGGCTATCAAAGTGTGTGCCTTATCAGCTAACTGAAACCTTCCAGGTCTCTTAAAATGACATATATATAGTTATCATCACATATTAGGGTAAAATGAAGATCAGAGCCAATATTCTGCAGGCTTCCCCACTGATGAACTTGGCTCTTGACAATGTTTTTATTGCTTAAGTTTGTAAGAATCTTTATGGACTTTTCTGTGTTCTCTCAAGACAGGAGACAAGTACAATAAAGATTAGGAAACAACTCCTTAGTGTTACAGTGAAGAAGTTTGTAACTCTTCACCTACAGTACTGTAACTCTACCTTAGAGTGTTGAACAAGATGCAAAGCAAAACCTTTTACTTATTTTATAAAATGCTGTATGTTGTTCCAGAATTGATCTTAAATAAAACATGCAAGCAGTATCAAGATACGAAGCTTTCTAAGCCATGAGCATTAGGAACTTATATTTAAAATGTAAAACAAGGAGTTCTAAGATGTTATCACAGAAATCTATAAAAGTAAGGGTATCTTATTGGTCGAAGTGTAAACAGGAACACCCTTTTGTAATATATATCTACACAGAGACAGTATTTCTGCTTCCTTTTTACACTGGTCACTGGCTATTCATTAATCCATCCCAAGAGCCCGGTGAGCGTCCACCATATGCAGTGATTCCTCTTACAAGGAGAAAGGAGACTAAACACTGCACAACCAAAGCACAACTGCAAATAGTAATACATTGGCACTAGCTCCAGCTCAAGAATCAAAACATTTTTCCGTGTTACTACAGAAACAGTTAGCTGTCTTCCCTCCTCTCCTCCTTTAAAGCCAGCATGATCTCACAACTTAGTACATTTTCTTCAGCCAAGAAGGAACTGACATTGTCTTAGCTGACTGTTACTTTACTACTGGCCTGTTTAGTAGTAAATGAGATCATGTAGCCAGTAGCTTTCTTCCTCAGAAAATGCAATGCCATTTTCAAGTCTTAACACAGAGGACAGACTAAGACTGTTTCAGCACCCAAAAACATCCTTGATTATATGTACATGGCACAAGGCAGTGCACTAAGACAGGCCGCCTCAAGTCAATAGGTGGGGAAGGATATTAACAAGCCATTAATTAAAACAATAACCTGACAAAATTTTGGCATCTTGCTATGTAAGGGCTTAAGATGTTGCCAACTTAAGTGTCCTGAACTGAGAAAGAACAGAGTGCAATGCCTAAACTATAGCAGAATGGCAGGTAGGAAGCTATTGATATAGGATAATCAGGGTTAGATGGAACAAAGTTAATGCACTAACTTTATAATCTTGGCAAAGTGAGTATACATATGGCTGAGACTTCAGCTTATATTGAGTTTGTTGGCCTTTTATGCTAGTTTTCTTGCAATGTCTATTTTGAGGAGAGGCCAGAGGAAGACAGGAAGTGCTCTGGGTCAGTGTGATGACAACTTGCAGAAAAGCTTCCATGTTACCAGCCCATATTACACTGGATTCCTTCACCATGAAAATTCACACACTGAGCCAAACTTCACTCACCTTACTCACTTGAATAGTACCTATGGAGTTCCACTTACTCATATGAGTAAAGGTGGGCAGGATTTGAGTCATTACAGTGATAAAAACGACTATATGACCATCTGAAAGAGAGGCTCCCATGGCACTGTTTAGTATAATAAATCTCAACTGAGGAAATCAAAACCATATTTCAAACTCTTACTTTAAAGATTTCTGTGGAGAGCTTATCTTCTTTATAGAAAATCTTTGGATTTTTAATATTGGCTGAGAAAGCTTCACTTTACAATTTAGCTGCCTTATTTTATTTTATTTTACATTTTTTTAAAAAGCAAACAAAAATAAGGCTGAAAATACTGCAGGTGTATTTAGATTTTTTTTTTTTTCAGTCAACACATTCTGGGCACAACTCTCATCACTTCACAAGGAAAAAGCTAAAAAAATGTAAAGTACCGGAACTGCGGGAGGCTAAAGTCACCACACAGAGATACCAATTCTTTCCTCACTAGGGAATCCCATAATACTTTGCGTGTCAGTGATTGACAGCTGTCAGACTGAACTGATTGACAGGCCGCACAGCACATAACTGTAAAGTCTATCCACTTGTTATAAAACAGAATACATAAAATGGTTACAAAAGGCTTTTGGAGAAAGAACATTAGTTTCAAGTACAAAGAGAAATACAGTCTTTCTTCTTTTAAACTTGTCTAATTTAGAATAATCATGCAACATTAAAACTAAAAGCATTTACATCTCTTTAAACTTTCAACTAGACTATTGCTATGGTGCAAAAACAGTGTTTTAAAATTCCACATTTGTGGTTCAAATACAGTATGTAAAAGTTTAGGTATAGTTTTCAATTAGATTTCATTCGTTTTCTCTGAAAGCATAATCATTTATTGAAAACATCAGCAATAGAATAAATGTAATTTAAAAACCAATAATGCATTTAATTAGAAGAATCAAATTCTTTACTTTGGCAATATTTATCCAAAATTGCTATTTCAATTATTAAGGTATTCCAATTCTTGTATGCCACAGCCTTTTCTCTTCTACAAGTGTCATGCTACTCTCTCACCACTGCTTCCTAATAAGTGGAATTTACACTAGTTCTGTTTTACACAATAAATGTTGGAGATTTTAAATGTCAAAAATGATTAGGCTTCAGAGGTTATTTTTCTCCATTCACACAACACACAGGGACATTTAGGAAAGTGGCTGCATATTCTGATGGTAACACTATTGATGCCACCTCCTAGCAGTCTGTTTTCCCAGTGGTGAGCGCTTGCTCCTGAGTATTGACATCGCAGCCAAATGACATTTGGAATTCATTAATCTTTAATAGTCGACCTTTAATTCTGATAAGCAGTAATTTATACTTAAGGTATGTTTACTGAAAGATTAGAAAGTCGCTAAAGTGCTACCTTTTAGGTAGAAAAGGAGATAAAGCAGCTTTTTAAAATTTAAATGGTGTAGTCTACAAAGAATTCTGAAATCTTATTGCCACTACTGAGAGAAGAGGAAGGTAATGGCCAGTTCTGGATTTTCTACCCAAAGAGAACAAGCATCCTTTTCATCCTCCAGGATGTCACCTTTTTTTTAAAAAAAGACAAGTATCATTCCAGTTAAAACAGCATGATGTGGCTTTTTGGTTTTTTTTTTAATATAATGAATTATCAATGTATTTGCATTGGCTAAAAGTTGATATATCTGCAAAATTAAGAAGATTAATTTAAAAGGCCATAAAATAGCAGTAGTCAAATATTTGTATTTTAAAAGCTGTAAGGCTGGGGAACAAACATCTCAGTGAAAGAACACTGGAAACCTAGTACTGGCTTTGTCCCATCCCATTCGAGCCCCCCCCACCCTCCCCCACCCCACCCCACTCACGCCACTGGAACTAAAGCCACTTTCCTTACCTTCTCACCTCTGGTCTTCGAATCTTCCTTCTCCTTCTTTCTTGCCGCTGTGATAAACTCGTTAAACAAGGCCTCTCGATCTTTCATCTTTTCAATTGCCTTGAATCTCGAGTCTTTAGCATGCTTGGCTGCAAATTCACTAAAAGTAGCTCTGTAACAAAATGGCAAGTGAACTGATTTGTTCGAGCTATCTTTGCTGTGAAGTAGGTTTAGCAGAAAACACCATCTCTTCTGCTAGATCACGTGCCAAAATACAATTAAAAAAAAAACAACCCTCTGTTCTCACTATGCAGATAATTGATCAATAAACTACAGAGAGGAGGAGTTGGGTTAAGCAGACACAGAAGAATATTGTTCAAGACTTATTCAAAAATTATCTGTGCAAGTGTGCAAGTTTAGGAAAAAGATTACAATGCAACCAAAGAAAATAAATTTACTTATTTCAATTGTTTAAAACACCTTAACTTTTTGTGGATTAACACTGTAGTCCAGCCTATCCAGATATTTCACAGCTGTGTGATCTAAAATGTACATGCACTCACTTGCAGCCAAACTATGCTAAGAGTGACATTGAGAAATTCAACATTTGGTGTTAGTCAATGTAGAACACTGGATAAATTAATTTTCCTGTAATGAACATTATATAGTTTAACCTTATGACACAAGGAGTTGGGATATTTTTAACACTGAGCAGGTGCAGTAGTGCAGGGCTTTCCACCCATTATCTCTGTAGCATTTTCTTTACAGTTCTCTCACCTCCAGGGCCAGATTCCAATCTCAGATGTGCAGTAAATATAGTACTGCCACTTACCTCGAAAAAAAACACTACTGTGCTTTTTCCAAGATCTGATGCAAATCTGGCCCCAAGAATACGTGAGACACTTATAATCATACGAATGTGTTCATCACAGCATGGAAATAATTAGACTTGGAAAATCCCGCCTACTGTTGCTGTAGGGTAAATTAAAACAAGAAGAAAATTTGATAGCTTGTTCAAAAAGATTAGAAAGTGAATGTACAGCTATACTGAAGAACACGAGCTGTATAAAAAGAGTGGAATACAAACTTGAGCATGTTAGACTGGGATAGATGATTTTTTTAAAGTAGTTGACACACATGGAAGTGCAGCAATGCCTTAGATAAACAACTGACACTAGAAGATGAAGGATAGGGTAAAACAAAACATGAAGTCCCTCATCTGGAGATTATATTCTTCTCTCCCATTTTTATTTTTTTTCTGTGCAAAAACAGCTTTTGTCTTGGTATACATAAACACTCACAGAGATAAGAGTTTTAGTTTTTCTTGGATTGCAAAGTACTAAAATCAATCATTCTGAAGGACATATTTAGCACACCCATTCATGTATTTTAAATACTCAAAATCCCACAGCTGCCAAAAAATGTAATTTTCCTGACAACTTCCCTTATTGGATGTCTAAAAACACTGCTGATTGATGATTGTTTTTACAGATGTGAAGTCAATTATGCTGGTTAGCCTAAAGCCTGCACATGCTGGCTTCCAGCACATTTCAATGTATGTCGCTGAATCCATGAAGTTGAAGTGAATAAAATGAACTGTTGTTTTAACATAAAAGAATTCCTGTCTGATCTAGGTTAGAAGTGACACTGAAATACATCTAATGTAAAATATAATGCTTATAAGCTATTAAGTGACATAAGGATGGTTATGAGTTGTTTGGGCGAGAACTATGAACATGAACAATTCAGGCATCTTGGCACCATAATCTAGAATATCTAGTATCCATGCTAAAAACATCAAAACACTTACTGCAATAGATACCCCTGGATGGCATAGAATCATTGTGATTTTTATACTGCAGAATTAATATTTTCTGTAATACTGTGTATGATATCTACACAGCCACAAATATAAGATATACACTTTTTCATTGAAGGTAAAGAACAAACAAACCCAAACACGTACACAATGATTTTCTGCTACAAGGAAAACTTCTCACAGGCCAGTACGATCTACAAAGGCTACAAGAGCTGCATGAGAACACTCATTGAAAAAAAATGAGCCCTTTCTCACCATCCAGCCATGTGCTGGGGATTTTTTCACATTCTGAACCAGTGAATTATAATATATCAAACATCACAAACCCCCAAATTCCAGCACTCTGTTGGTTAGGGAGCCTATAATCATGCAGAAGAAAATAATACATTTCAACAGGCCCAAGATTTTCCTAGAGTTCATTTCCCCCTTCTTTTACTGTTTTGAAAGAGAAAGGAGCAAAAGGGGGGTTAAATTACCTACTGAAAAATAAAGTGTATTTTGACCTGGTAAAAGCTTTCACATGTGAATGTGAAATAAGCCACCTACCTTGGATTAAACTTTGCTTCTTCCATCATTTTCTTGAAATCCTCCTTGGCCTGCATTATTTTGTTTTTCTTTTCCTTGCGCTCTTCTTCTGCTCTGGTCTTCACATACTGGTCAAATACCTAGAGAAATACCAATAAGACATAAAATGTAGAAATTTGGAGTCATATTATCCCCTATGAGGGAAAGGAAGGCGAAGAGAAAGAAAACTTCATGTGTTTCAAATTGCAGAGTTTGCCCAAATAGTCTGTGGAAGGGTATGCCTGCTTTGGCCTAGTAAACCTGCAGATCTGACCTCATATTAGTGAGGAAATCTCACAATCATGGATGGTCTCTGTATGACCCCCTGGGGCCCGGGCCCAACATTTAGTTCTCCAATTGCAGGACAATTCCAAAGGAAGCCATTTTACCATACCTTCCCAAGTTCTGCTAGTAGATGTACCCCTGGCAGTACTTAAATATCCAAATAACAATACCATTTTCCTTTCATTCATTCTTATATATTTACACACACACACACACACACACTTACTTATTTTGGAAGGAATTACTAATCCATCCTTGTTAGATACCTCTTTACAAGAGAACAGAACTTCTCCTTTCCCCTAACAACTGATACATTTTATATTAGCATGGGCATCTTGCATAATCCTGAATACTTACACTAAGGGATTAATTACCATTATAATAGAGACCATTCATTTATGCAACACTCACATATTTGCATGTACTGTAGAGATTGGAATAGCTTCTGGAATACACTCAGAATCCATTCCCAATGCATGTATGGGAAGTGGTGTAATACAGTAGTATTTGTCGTCATATGAACATTTCCCCTCATAACTTGTTTGTTAAGCTGAGACTTACTTGGAGGATTTAAATATACTAATACAAAAATAAAGTTTAAACATTTCTGGGTCATACGTTAAGAAAAGGGGCTTATTCCTCTCCTAAGCTTTTCAATTTTTTTCACTTTTCTTCCTTCATTTGGGGAAAGGATTCCTGAACCGAGTCTGCCTTATAATAAAGCCTGTGCTTTAATTTTTCATTGCTCAGATTTTTAATATGTTCATTATTCATTCTATTAATATTTTGGTGTGACAATGAAGATGCTCTCTGCTGCACCTGTTTTTTTGGCAGCCTCCTGGCTATATATAACTTTCATTGCAGCAAGAAATAAATCTTACCACCAGAGGAAGTACCAGCTCCTGCTCTTTGTTGAAAATAAAGCATAAAAAACAAACAAACAAAGACATTTGCAATACAGGTCCTCAAAGGGGAGGTTTTAAAGAACTATACTTCCACTCAAAGATTATTTTTAATGATATGTATGTCTTGAAGTTAATTAACCTTTTCTATTACCTGTTTCCTTTCTTTAGGATTGAGAAGCAAGTACCGAGGATCGAAAACTATCTTGTGCAGCTCCTTCTCCCAGGTTGAAAAGGCAGAAACCTTTAAAAAGTAAAAAATAGACTGGATTTTGCCTGGTAATTAAGTTCCCCCAAAGATACAAAGGTTGCGTATTTTGCTTGAAATCTACAGGACATCTGTTAAAAAGAAGACATAACCGAAATCCATCCTGAAGTTTTCATCACTAATAGATGACGAGCGGTGGGAGGTTAGCATGGCAAATTTCCACACTAATTGGCTCTGAAAACTTCTACATAATTACACAGAAGTAACACACATCTAATTACTCATTAAAATAACCACTACTGCGTGGCATTTAAAAATCACTACATCAGAAGAGAACCTTCAAGCTTTGTATTTTGATTTCCCATGACTGCTCTGTTCCTTTGCTAAATGTTCTGAGTTTTTAAATTAAAAGTTTCTCATACACAAATGGATCTTTGTATTGAAAAAATGCCTATCTGTAAGCTGATCTCAACTGAGCATTTTTGGAATAACCCTAAAATGCCACTGCTGTGGATCAAAACAAAAGATGTACAGGCATCATTTCAAATTTGGAACCTCTTCTCTTTTGCATATAAACATTGCTACCATTCTAGGAAGCCAATGCATCTATAAAAGTCAATTGGTATTGAACAAGCCTCAAACTCAGTTTAATTAAAAAAGAAATGGCTAGTTTTCAATGTTAGCAGAATAGTCTAAGGAAAGATGAGGCAAAAGTTTTTCTCCTTTCATGTTATGATCATGGGAAGATTTTAAAAGAACAAACAGGAATGAGGTGCTCAACTCCCACTGATTTTCAATGGGTACTGGGTGCCTGATATGACTTCTGTGCCTCTGAAAAATCTCCACCTACCTACCTATGTTTTGACCTGTTAATGTACTACATACTTTTTTAAACAGAAAAGTCTTCGGGTCAGGGAATTATCCCCTTCTCTTTCCTGTACATCAGCTGAAACTTGAAAACTAACATTGGAAAATTAAATATATAACAAAATCGTGCTAATTCACACTGATTGTGGCTTAAAGAATCAGGAGATCTGAAAGGAAAAGATAATGCATCACAGAATATTTGGTTCACTTATACTGACAACTTAGTTCAGTTTTAATTATTTAGGATAACTGTGATGATTTTAGTAATCACAGCCCCGTCTCGTGTTCAATCTTTCCTCAGAAGTGGGATGAGACTGCTTTTGCATGTATGAGAATTATTAGGCTTGCAAATTAGCAAAGTAAGAATTAACAAGGTTCTACTTGATTGTCAAAAGGATAGTTCCTCTGACCCCTCTTTCTAGCAGCATATCCTTGAATTGTTTCATTCGAGCCTCCAGAGGGACAATGGCCCTCTCACGTGCAGCTTTAATTTCAGCTTCCATGGCAGCCTCCTTGTCTGAATCAATGTCTTTGTTGTCATCTTTCCTGTAAAAATGGAACATACAGTTTCCTCTTAGAAGTGATGTTAACACTGCAGTTAAGATATTGAACTGCATCACAAATAGAACAGAAATTTTAGATCGTTCCAGCAATACAGGCTTGTACAAACCATTGCAAGATGTTTGTCAAAGACTGAAACATCAGAGTGAATAAACACAAACAAGGCATTCAGATTTTAAGTATTATCAAGCAAATCACAAAAGAAAATGTAAAATCGCTAAAAAGAAAAGTAGGTTTAATCCATCTTTTGTTTTATACTCTATTTACATTCTACCTCTTTGTTAAAAACACCAGGCTCTGTTTATTGAGTTAAAAAGGACATGATTGAGCAAGTTTATAACATTTATAATGTAGATCAAATTGAGTTTAAGGGGGAACTGCCCAAAAAAAAAAAAAAAAAAAAAAACCACCACATAATCCGCTTTGTTAAGACATTTTTCAAAAATACACTGCTCCTCTAGGGATATTTACTGAGACATTCTTGGTTCAGAAGTATTATTCTAAATTCTCACAGTCATAACCAGGATCTACCTCATGATTACATCAAATGACACAAAATACCAAGATGGGAGTAGTTACACTTGTAATAAGGCATATAGCTCTAGGAGCAATAAAATTTGCCCTGATTTTCTGTAAACCAAACAAAGCAAAACCAATCAGTCATGATGTTATAGCATAGTCAAAACAGCCTTTTAATAGAAAAACTCCAGCTCAGAAATCCATACTACTGTCTTTTTTGGGCAACAAAAACTTGTGCAAATGGAGTGAACACAAGCTGGGCAAATGAGTGGCATATGCCAATACCACAGAACTGTATAATGTAAAGACAGCTCAAAATTCTCCTGAGGGAGATCAGGCTATCACAGATAGCTTCTATCACAAACACACATTTATTATTTATGACTTCCACAGAAGATGGAATTCTCTCTCAACATGAATTCTATCCAGCTCTAAAACCCTCAAACTAAGTAACATTAGCAAGAAAGGTAGCAGAAATCTAAAGTAATCCTGTTCAGTTATACCAGCGCAATGCCATTGCCTTCAACAGGGTTGCATGAGTGCTGCTGAGACCAGGACAGAGCCTTCTATATCTAGACTAAGTCCATATAAGAGTTTTCAAGATTAACTTACTTTCGCTTCTTTGTTTTAATAGGCTCATCATCATTTGTTTCCTCTGCTGATTCATGATCTTCTTTAACTGTAAGATAAGTTTCATTAACAGTCTTCTAGGTGAAGTAAAGAAAAGTTCACAACTTATGCCTGAAGCCTCTTGCATACCATATAAAGCTGCCTGATCACAATTTTAACCCATTATTTTGAAGGAAATTAGATGCCATTCTTCATTCAGTTTTAGAGAAATATCATCGGAGCTTGATAATTTTTGTCACTATGGCGTTATGCTTAAGTCTCCATCTTGAATTGTCCCTATAAATCAGATTGTTATTGCAAGTGCCAACACCCTGGTTTTGTAATATTAGCCACAAAACAATGCTCTTCCATATTCTATTTTCCATTCATTCAACAGAAGGGATTAGTTCTTATGAAATCTACTCTCTAATTACATTTAAAATCCCTTTCCCATAACAAGATTTAAGAACTCTATTTTCATTTGTGTTTTATACACTTGCATGCAGAAAATAGAACCGAACCATAAATATACAAACTCAAAATGCTGAGCTCATTCATTTTAGTAAAATTAAGTAATCAAACTATCATCCCTAAACCCAACAAGAAGCCCAGAGGACTGTGTAGGTGGCCCACTTTCCTCTCCGAATGGATCTGACCGTAAGACTGGGATGCAATTTAGCATAAGTTGGAAGAAAACACAACATCAGCAGTTATCAAACAGTGGGTCACCACTCCACTTCATTGGGTTCACCAGGGCAGAAAGCTGCAAGCGGGAACTCCCCAAGCCCCCAGCCTGGCTGAAGCCCCGAGCCCTCTGCCCTGAGTGGGGCTGAAGGTAGAAGGTCACAATTTTTTCTAGTGGGGAGGGGGTTAATGATTTTTTTCTTTTAAGTCCATATGGGTCGCCAGCATAAAAAGTTTGAGAAACACTGCACTCCATGATTTGTGGTCAGTTTTGTATTTTAAAGGAATTAAACATCTACCTCACATTTCCAAAACAAATTGAGGCTAAAATGTGCCTTTGTAAATGCTTCATGGAGCCCATTTATATCTTCTAATTGCAAAGTAATATTTTGCACTACTGTCTTTAGAATTAAATCTCCCTTATCGCTCCCCACCCAAAAAAAGCCTTTCCCTCCTAAATGCGAAAGTCTATCATTCTTGGATGATTTATTAGAAATTATGCCCAAAATAGTCTTACTTCAGTAGCTTCTTAATGAAAACAATGCTGCCCAACCGCCAGAAATAAATACAATTTCTGATCACTGCAGAATTTTATTTCAGTCAACGTTAATTTAATTCCCTTCTTTCAATGCTCCAGTATTTTACTGTCTTATCTTTGTGATTAGATCTTTAGTCTGCTTTTTGTTGACCTGAAAATCTATTCCTGTTTCCTATAATTTTTTTTAACCATTTCTACCTTTCTTCTCAATAAAGATGTCTGTTCCTTTAGTCGGTTTTCATACATATTTTCTTTTATCAGACATAACATTTCTCCTGTCACTAACATCCCCTTTATTCTCTTGGACCTTTTTTCTAAGCACTTTATATATCTGCAATTTACTATCCCAATCAGCTTTTTAACTTAGTTGTCTCAGTTTTCATAATTACACCTCATTTTTCAAAGTCGGCGTACAGTTCTCACTTATTTTTTATGCTCATTTTGAAAATAAGCACAAAATGGAGCTTGTGTGAAAAGTTGTTCATTGTCTCTCTATTAATCCTATGAAGGTGGTGATGGGGAGAATGGGAACTGATAATGATGATTTTCCTCTTACTTTGTTTCTTTCCTTCTTCCATTCCTTTTTTGTGAGGAGGTTCCTGAATAATTTTGTCCACATCAGCTCTTCCAATTAAGTCCTCTGGCCGGTCCCACATAGAGAGACGAGTGGTTGGGTTGTAGAAAAAAACCCGCTCATCACCAGTCCATACCACACACCTAAGAATTTTGAAACAGAGAATGCACATGCAACAAGTTTAATTTTATCTATATTCATTTTATATGCCTGCTTTATATCATCCATGAGAATTGAAAATATGAAGTCACCCAGAAAAAAAGACAATGCTTTCTAATTTGACCTGCAAAGAATTTAGATTTCTAATCTATTCCAGCTATTCACTATCCACTTTACAGAAACAGAGGAAAACAAACAGATGCTAAATGAATGATACTGCAGTTCAACAGGTTAAAAAACCCCACACACTCACCAATCACCAGTAGAAAACTTTCTCTGGCAAGTGGCCTAAAACTTTCAGTTTCTGCAGAATATAAGTTTTTGTTAAAAAACCCAGCTTTATAATGTTGCAAAGCGAACCTTCCGAATGAGAAACTACACAGTACCATCCTACTCACTCAGCAATAGAGCTGTGATTCTGCATTTGATACTACTGCTTTCTCAACCAGCAAAGAGTAAAACTGAAAATATTAAAGTGTCACTGCTACTGATCAGAACCCTGTGGGGGAAGTAAAACTGACTGGATCCTAGTCAATTTTCATTCTGCAGCTGCTGCTTCATAAAACTGTATGCAGTATTAGAGAAGCATGAGGAAATATCCACAGGGTTCTCTCTTGCTGCCACAGGCAATAAGAAGGAACTGAGACATGCTTGGGCGTACTCTTCTCTTTATCTCCTTGGACACCTGGGGGTAGGTGTGGCCTCAAAAGACACTGATAGCTAAAAGAATCTGATCTCCCATGCACTGGGTGCATGTGCACCAAAAATGGAATCCTGTCGACAACCACTTGAAATAGAAAATGTAAAAAAAAAAAAAAAAAAAATACCACCAAACAGAGGTACAGAGGTTTTCCCACCAGATTTTCTAATCTGTATTGTATATATCCACCATATATTTTTATCATATCAGGAAGCCCCTTTGGAATACTTGTGTATGCATTTCTTGTAAATGGCAGACAGATCCTTCCAAGTACCCATGATTTTCTTTCTTGCAATAGGTTCAATGATCTACTATTTCACAGCATGATTACTTTCATATTAGCACACTGACCAGCAACAATTCCAAACTGAAGGGCTCCAATGTGGTTGACAGATATACATCCAAATGTCAAACGATATTTCCAGAATTCCTATTAACATTAAGATCTACAGAGATTTGTCCTTCACAGTCCTATTTTTGCTTCCAGAGATTCGGCTTCATTTCCCTCAATTTAGAGATCTTGCAATAATACTGTTAATATTACTTTGAAGTCTGAAGTATATTTCATTTTAGAATTTCAAACAACTTTACAAATCTTAAGCTCCATTCCCCTTGTAAGGCACATACAGTATTGGAACCATTTAACAGACAGGTAAGAGGCAAAGCAAATTATCTAATTGGCTCTAGGAAACAGAGTCAATGAAAGAGCCAGGAAAGAATTCAGGAGTCCTGACTCCCAGTCTCCTGTTCCAACAATGAAGCAACACTCCTCACCAACAAGATATCTGCTGCAACATACTACAGGGAAAAGAACTGGAATACAATAGGTGTGCACTGGAAGTTAGCTACATACCATGGGGTTCCAGGAATAGGAGTAGTTGCAACTGGTTTTGCTTTCTGAGCTGCTTTTTCTTCTTCAGTCATTTCTTCCTCTTTTGGCTCCTAGAAGGGAAAAAAATAAATGTTGTAAGAGTCGGCCATGTTCTCTGTTCAGCTATTTCATTTATAGCCAATTGACAGTAATGTGGAATTAAATTTATTTATTTATTTAAAATAATGTTAATCAACAGCCTCAATTATATTCACAGAGTTTAAGGCACGAAGAATCTATTAGATCACCTAGTCTGACCTCTTATATATCACAGGCCACTAATTTTCACCCAGTTCCCCATATATTGAGCCCAATAACTTGTCTTTGACTAACACACAACTTTTGTTTCGCTAAAACATGTCTTACAGAAAGACATCCAGTCTTGATCTGAAGACGTCAAGAGATGGAGAATCCACCACTTCCCTTGGTAGTTTGTTCCAGTGGTTAATCACCCTTACTGTTAAAAATTTGTGCCTAATTTCAAATGTCAATTTGTCTGGCTGCAGCTTCCAGCCACCAGTTCTTTATCTGCTAGATTCAAGAGCACTTTAGTACCTGGTACTTTCTTCCTGTGAAGGTACTTAAACACTAACCAAGTCACCTCTTAATCTTCTTCTCAATAAGCTAAAAAAGATTGCGCTCTAAAGTCTCTCAGTGCAAGTCATTTTCTCCAGCCCTCGAATCATTTTTGTGGCTGTTCTGCACCCTCTTCAGTTTTTCAACATCTTTTTTAAGATGTGGACACCAGAATCAAACAGTAATCCTTTATCATTCTCAATAATGCTACATTTTGATATAAATATCATCTCCCTACTCCCCTGTCTATACAACCAAGGATCACATTAGCCCTTTTTGCCATAGCATCACACTGGGAGCTAGCTACACTGAGTTACTGTCCACTATGACCCCTAAAACCTTTTCAGAGTCACCCCTTCACAGGATAGTCCACCATTCTGTAGATATGGCCTGTGTCTTTGTTTCTAGTTGTGTACGTTTGCATTTGACTGTATTAAAACACATTTTGTTTGGATTTCTTGGTGACCTGGGCCCATTCAGATTGGTCCATATGATCATTATCTACTATTCTGCCAATCTGTGTCATCTGCAAATTTTATCAGCAGTGATTTTATATTTGCTTCCAGATCACTGATTAAAATGCTAAGTAGTGTCAGGCAAAGTACCAAGCCCTTTGGAACCTCATCAGAATCACCACAATTGACTGATGATTCCCCACTGATGACTACTTTTTGAGATCTGTCAGCTAGTTCTTCATCCATTTAACATGCTCTATTGATATATTGTGCTAATTATTTTAATCAGAATGTAATGCAGTACTAAAGACACAATGTGGGTGAAGCAATATCTTTTATTGGACTAACTTCTGTTGGTGAAAGAGACAAGCCTTCATGCTCCTCAGGTCTCTCTAATGTCCTGGGACCAAAAGCTACAACAAGGTAGTACTAAGTCAAACATCTTACAAAAGTAAGTATACTACTTCTTTGAAGTTTATCAACCAAACTTGTAATACCTCAGAGAATGAAATCAGGTTTGATTGGCATTAATTATATTCCTGTCCTTTAATTCTTTATTGTGTTCCCTTTCAGTTTTTCCGTTATTTTGCTTGGGACTGATGTCAGGCTAACTGACCTGTTTCCCAGGTCATCCCACTTGCCCTTTTGGAATAATGGCACAACAGTAGTACTCTTTTAGAATCATCTAGAACTTCCACAGTATTTCGAGATTTATTAATAATTAAAACAAGCAGGTGAGAGATCTCCCCAGCCAACTTTTTTAGGAGTCTTTGGAGTAAATTATCCAGGCCTGCTGATTTAAGAATGTTTATTCCTAAGAGAAGTCATCTAACATCCTCTTCAATTACTAATGGACTGGAAAGTACTTCACCCTCAATTGATATGACTACATCTTGCTTCTTTCTAAATAAAGAACAGAAATATTTATTGAACACATCTGCCTTTCCTGCATCATTAACAATTTTACCATCTCCATCTAGTAATGGGCCTATAATATTGCTAGAATTTCTTTTGTGCCTAGTTTGTTTAAAAAACCCTCTTTCTTAGTATCTTATTAATTTTCATCTGTCTTCTCAAATGTAACCATGTTTTGATTATTATGCTACACAGTTTAGTTTCTATTTAAGTCAAGACCCAGATTCAGGAAAGCCCTTAAGCCACATGCTTAACATTGATTTCAATGGAATTTAAATATACTTAAACACTTGCCTGAACTGGGATGTTTCCCCGAATCAGGGCCTAAATGAAGAGATTATGGTGAGATGTGTTTTTAAACACTGTACCTTAATTACATAACAAAAAAAAACTGTACACAAGAAAAAGTTTTAGTTTGGTTACTGTAATTTAAGGGAAATAAATGTACTTTACTTTTACAGAGGTTCTCTATGATGTGACTTTCTGACAAACTAAACTTATTGGTTGTATTGTATACAGGAAGTTTTGCTTTTGTCTCAAAATTATGAAAATAAAGAAAATACAGAAACATGCATCTCTTTCAATATTTCAGACATCCTGATATCCACGGCAAACTGAGTTGCTGAATACATCAAGCAAACTGAGTTGCTGAATACATCAAGAGAAATGACTTTTTATAAATCAGAATGTATTTAGAGGTAAGACTATTTTAATTTTCAAATTCTTACTGACTTACCACCTAATTCATCTCTCTATATTTTTCTTTTTAAAGATTTTTTAAATTAAAAAAAAAATCACTAAATGTCATGAGAAAAAAAATACTATTTACATATCACCCCCAATAATCTAAGAACTCAAATTACTAACCATAATCTCTTATCAATACGTCTGCATCATATATACACAGAAAGATTTTATTTGGTTGCAAGGTCTTTTACCTCTTTTATCAGCAATTTTATAGGTTCTTCTTTGGGTTCCTCTTCTTCTGTTTCCATTGGCAAAGGCTCCTCTGTAGGTTCTTTAATAGGCTCTTTAATCTTCTCTTCTACTTTTTCTGTAAGAAAAAGGTATTTTTTTTTAAAGTTTGCCTACAGTAACTTACAATTTTTACTGAACTCATCAGATTCAGTTTATCAATGTGGTTTTTCAAGTTGTACTTTTTTTTTTGGCCATTCTCTCTTCAGAGAATTAAGTGTCATCCTCAAAGGGCCAGATTCTCTCCTGTGCCAGGATCTGCTCAACATGGGGGAAAAGGGGAGGCAGTTAGGGTTCCTGATCTCACGGTATCCCAGCCCCAATGTAAGTTAGTCTTCCCTAACTTATGGCAGTTAGTGTATAAATTGCTGTAGTGGACCCTACTCTTCCGCCCCCCGCCCCCATATGCCCTCCGCCCCCAAGGCAGAAGTTCTGCTGGGAGAATTATCAACTTGGCAGCTGAAGCCAAATTCTGGTTGCTCTCTGTTGTTTAGATGTTGTGAAGGAACTGGAATGGGGCAGAGAATCTGACCCAAAGAACAGGCATCCTGGCCGTTCACTGTAGAAAATAATTTAAATGGAATCCCTCTAACACCCTGCTACCCATATAACGGCCCTAACAAGATTCAAGTGACACAGTCAACTTTAATTTTGAAACTGGCTCATTTCTAAAAATTTAAGTTTGATAGAAAACTGAATTTTTTTATTTTCTGGCCTTTTCAGCAAACAGGAACCTCACAGACAATACAGGGGAAACTGACCAAATACAAGTAATGCTAAACGCACAAAGTAAACAACCTGTAAGAGAATATTCCTCCCCCCCCCAACTTCTTTCTTTTATAGGAACTGTAAGTGCTGCATGTAAATACAGTAGAGAGAGATGTGATTTTCAGGGTGTGTCCCTGTGACAAGAGCTTCAAATTCAGTCCAGTTTCCTGAAGTGCTCATGCACATTCCTTGTTTAGCAGGATAAATTATAACTCAGATTCTACATATTTCTTAAAGCAGGCTACATGCAAGGATTTCACAATTGTAATTAAAACTGCCCTTTAGCAGCCTACATGTCTGTTCTTATACTTAGTCCCAACGCCATTAGGAAATATTAGAAGTCAAAAATAAGACAAGGAGGTTACATCAATAGAAACAAGTCACTTGGGAAGAATAGTCAGCTAAGGATGTTAACCATCAAATATTATAATAAAGTGAGGGCTTGAAGTTGCACTAAATTTTAATAAAAGAATATTGTGTGTGATAGAAAGAGTTATTTCTCTAACCCCAATACAGAGACTACTTCTTCACCTAAAATCCAATCAACAAATATTGGGGAATAGGAAGTTATTTGAATGCTTTGACTTGCACTGCAGGCTGCTCTAGTGGGTCTTATCTGATGCAGAAGCGTTGCTATCAGCAGCACACCATCCTGGCATAGACTTCCTTTGCAGGCTGTTGCCTTTTTAACAAACAGCTTGTTGTTTATATACTGTTAGGGCACCCTTATTTTCTGGATTCGTTTTTTGTTCGTTTGTTTTTGATACTATGTCTGGTGACAATAGGTCTCAGAAAGGAGTTCCCTGCAAGATCAGCTGCTGTCTATCTCCTTCCCTTTCATGACATTAAAATTTGGTTAGGGAGTGCATGGGTTTGGGAACGGAGATGACAAGTCTGCAATTTCTTTGGATGCATTAAGAGCTACAAAATAAATGAGGGTGAGCTAGATACTCTTGCTCCAAAAAAAAAACTGCAGTTTGTTGAACTTCTCTAGAATAAACTACACATTTATCAAGATTCAAGAGATATTAAAAATTGAGAATGAAAGTTTTAAAATGCACTTTGGAACTTTAAAGAACATCACAGAAGAGGTTGAAATACTAGAAAGCAATTTTAAGCAGACACACATTTGGATACCAAGAATTCTGCACAGGTTCCCGAACCACTAGAGAACGTTTTATACATTAAGTTTTGATGGAATACTCAAGTGAAGGGTGCAGTCCAGTTTCAGGAATGGACAGCTCTTGCCTAAAAAAGACTGTACAATGCAACTGCAGAGAGACAGCCTTCTGAGCATTGTTCTGCACCTATTACTTTCCTTTAAAATACATTTTATATATTTGGAGGATCTAGAAAATGCTTCTTTATTCAGGGAACCTAATTCAGATGTTCTCTGTCTTAAGGACCTCTCAATTCAGGAGAAGTAAGCTGAGTTAGTGAGAACTGAATTTTTAACTAGGTCATAGGCAGCAGTCTTAACTAGCATGGTTGAGAGTTATTTTAAGCAGGTGTGTTTATGTATATATATAAAAATTCAACCAAGAGGGAAAAGGAAGAACTACTTGTGCCTGACTAGACTGGTGAAGACTAGCAAAAATGTTGTAGATACTAGAATCAGAATGTTTGATGGGATTTTCATTCTCTAGTCTTCTTTTTGGCATTATATTTGGATCACCTTTGGGGGGGGACGGGACTCCCCCCTCATGGATGTAATTTGGGTTAAATGAATTTGGGGTTATGGAATATAACCTTTTCTTTTTGCTAATTTAATTTTGTCCTATCATCCCCTCCCTTTCTCTCCATCCCAAACTCATTTTTCTCAATCTCTAAACTTTGTGCTTTCACAGATTTCCATTCTTCAATGCGTTTATCATTAGGATGTAAAATTACATATAAAACATTTTAAAAACTAAAAAATTCTTTCCACTTTTTGTCCTTCCACAGAGATCTTTTCAAGCATACTAGTATGAGAATACAACTTCTTTCTCCTGGAAAATAAATGCATCATTCATCTAAGTGTTCCATGGTTTAACAGCAATGAACAGCTATTACCATAGCAGAAAACAAATATGTTTTAACTCTAAGACCTATACCCAATTCAAAGTTAGCACATTTTGGAAATCCTAATTAAGGGAGAAGAGGATTAAAGTAATTCTCGTTCACATTTTCCAACAACGTTTATAATGTTAAGTCGTAAAAGTGATCATACCTAGTTGTGGCTGGATTCTAAAATCGAATGCTGTACCTTTCTCTTTTAGTTCTTGGGGTCTTTCCCATGTTGATTCCAAAGTCCTATTGTTATAATAGTAAGTCTTCCCATCTGCTGTTTTGTACTCTGTCCATTCAGAGACTGCTGTTGCTCCAGCCAAAGTAGCAGGTGAAGCGGCAATAGCAACCTGAGGATGGATCATAGGTACAATAGGAGGAGCCATTCCTGGCAAGACACCTATATAAAGGAGCAATAAAAAACAAAACAAAAGAGCGAGTGACAATGAAACATCATTTTGTGACACAAAAGCACCAAAATACTGTTTTACGATAATCAACTAAGCATATAGTTTAATATAACTTTAAAATAAGTTTTTTTCCTAGTTGTAATGTCTTTTAACCTGGGACCAAAAAACCAAACCAAAACAGTACATTATTGAAGAAACAAGTAACTGGTTTTTGTATGAAAACACATTTGTTCCTGAAAATGGCCTATTTTCAAACAATGTACAACCTTGAAATGAAGATTTATTCTAAGACACGCATACATCACATACATACTAACATGCAAGCAGTCATGTGACTGTATAAATGGAAGTAGAAAAAACACAAATATCCCACACACACAAAACAGAACTAAGAAGTATGGGCATGAAGAGGTTCACATTTATCGCAGAAGTCAATGATTAAAATAATGTGAGTTTGTGTAGTTTTTTTGTACTAAATAGGCTAACACTAATAACTCATTAGAAAAGTTGTTTGCTGGCCAATATATTTTCATTTTGACTTTTTTTGGTAATAAAAATATATAGATCCACTCATTTGGGGAAAGCAAATAAATAAATAAAAGATAAACAACAACATTCACTACCATGCCAACTTACAGACAAAATGAACTAAGATGGTTTTAAAAATTACCGGTCTTGGTGGTAGCGACTGTCTTTACATACGGGCAGCTGACTATTTGCATCATTGCTACACCTGTAAAATGGATAAGCAAGCATGTTGGAAAGCTGCCATTGTATGTTGGCAATTACTGGGAGTCTGAATAATATGAATTTTCCTGCTACAATTTAAAATGCCATTTTCCAATAGAAAAGACAGATCCCAGGCAGGAATATGTAAATTCTTCTTTGTTCCAACATATTATGAAAAGTGGTGCCAGATCAACTATAAAACTAGTTCTAAGTTACTGCAACATTTACTGTTTTACACTGAACCAGCAGTTTAAAATGTAACATATATTAGGACTTTATAAAACATTTGAGAGAGGATTCAAGGGTTTAAATTCAGTGTGGGGTAGAATCTCACCCCTCCCTATGAGACAACGTTACAGGAGATTGTGCTGAGGGTAGTTTTGCGCATAGCATTTGCCCAGAAGAGGCCAATAGAAGCAGCTACAGAAACTCATGCAGTCACTGTCAGTTTCATTCTGCTCCTATTCCAGCTGGAAAGAAGGCAGGAGCAACAGTGGAGGTACAATTTTAACCAATTAAGACAAGGGTGAGAGTGGTGGTGGCAGCAGCAGCAGTGAAAGCACAATTTCAACCAGAAAGGAAAGAGGAGGTGATGGTCATTAGGGAAAGGCATTGAAGCTGAAAGAGAAGAGGCAAAGGCATGGCCCACACTAACCCCCCACTTCGAACTAAGGTACGCAAATTCAGCTACGTTATTAACGTAGCTGAATTCGAAGTACCTTAGTTCGAACTTACTGCGGGTCCAGACGCGGCAGGCAGGCTCCCCCGTCGATGCCGCGTACTCCTCTCGCCGAGCTGGAGTACCGGCGTCGACGGCGAGCACTTCCGGGATCGATCCCAGAAGATCGATTGCTTACCGCCGGACCCGGACGTAAGTGTAGACCTACCCATAAAGAAAAAGCTGTGAAGGGGTGAAGAAATATACACAAACAAAGAAGCTGCATTGGTGGGTCAGTGGTAGGAAGTATTAGCTCTGTCACAGTCTGTGGAGCTGCATGGGTTAGGAATGCTGTGAAGACAGAACATTTAGCCTTTGGGAGAGGTAGCACCATGGACTGCTTTCTAGCTCACTGAAGAAATGACACTGGAAGGTATGGAAACTGTGACATCTAATCCCCTTCAGTGAGATGAAAAATCACTAGGAGAGATGAGAGAATAAAAGGGAGGAAAAAAAGGGATTCCAGAAGACAGTTCATTTTAGGGGGAAGGGGTCATGACTGTATAATATTTCTGAGTATCAATCCAGTACTTTCAGACTGCTAACTGAAAAACTCAGAAATATACCCCCAGACCCTAAAATGTGTCAATTCCTACCATATAAAAGAGGTAAGAGGTGGGAATTCCCACAACACAAAATGAAATTAAACCCCTGTATTTATAACCAAAATAAATGTTAATTTTATTTATCAAAAATCTAATATAGAAAATACACTAAATATACTGCCAATTTATTAAAAAAAAATATTTTAGAAAAGATCAAATCTCAGTGCTCTTTAGTTTTGAATTCTTTTATTAAAATTTCTAATAACTTTATGTAGTATGAATGAATGAAGATACCGAAGCATTGAATCAAATGGTATTGAATGAAGTGTTTGTCTAGTTTTGTTGGTTTTTTTTATGATACAGCCTTTGAATGAATGCAAAAGTTTTGTTTTGTTAAGGAAGTTACAGTATGTCCTAAAACTAAATCAGGATAAATAATGTTATCCGTCTGATCACTGAAATTGGTTCTACTGCTGCGCAGACAGACTTCTTAGCAACTACAGAGAAAAAAAAAAAAAAAAAGCTGTTTCATCTGACAAATTTTTAAATGTATAGATAGCTTTTCACATATGAATTAAGAGTAAGCGGACCGATTTAAATTTAGTATCATAAGATATTAACACAATGGAAGAGTTAATTTAGTATCATGCCACAATATGCTGCAGAACTTTAAATGTCAAGATCACTTGTCAATTGCACTACTCAGCTCTTTTTAATATGAAGTGATCTCTCTGGATGGCTTCACGTTCATCACTGCCTAACACAAAAGAGCTACACACTTATGCTCAATGTGTCTTTTCAAATTCTGCTAATATTTTAACGGGATCATTTTAGCTTGTTTCTTAAAAACTCATCTCTTCAGGCATTTTATAGTTATGGTGGGAATATTCCAAGGCTTTCTAGAAACATCACAAAAAAAGTACAACCAAGTCAAACCAAATTTAGCTGAATTAAAAACCAAAACAAAACATAGTTTTGTTCCGTAATCAAAGAGAATGTGTATTTAGAACAATCAAAGAAAACAAATTCAAAATGGCATGGAGTCCTCCCAGTTCAATCCAATGTGTTATTTCCCAGTGAAAAGGGAAAATGGGTCAGGTATAAGTCTTCCAGAACTTCAGAAACTATATTGATGTTCTGAGAGAATTTGAGGAAAATGTTCCATCAGATAACGATGTTTTTTTGTTTGTTTTTCACACTTCCCTCTTCTTTTCCAGTGTCGTGTTCAATGTGGGAGTTTCTGCACTGGAAACTTACAAAAAATACAAGTGTCCATTGTTCATGGCCAGTTTCTTGGCTATTGAAATTGTTTCCTTATTGTATTGATCATTCAAATGTTGCCTACCTCTTTACACTTAATAGCAGCGGAATATGCATTTTACATGAAAAATATTGGATCCTTCATCTTACACTGATCATTTGCTGGCGGAGGCAGGAACTGAAGTTAAGAGTAGTCAGACTTTTTTCATCCTGATTTAAGCTGCACATTTTAAAACTTAATAATTAGTTATTCTTTTCACTTAACTCCCCAAAATATGTAAGAATCTACTCCTGAGGGCATTCTGCACCAAAAAAAAATTACGTGCCAAAAAACTAGAAATTCTGCCCACAATATTTTAAAATTTTGCAAATTTTATCTGTCAAATAAACGTGGAGGCTCTAACATGGGATTGGGGATCACAGGCCACGGGTTGCACAGAGGTGGGAGATCACTGAGCAGCTACCCCTCCAGACAGAGACTCAGTGGTGAGGCTGCACCTAACCCCGACACAGCGCAAGGACCGGGCCTGTTCCAGAAACACCCCAGGGCCCTGCCCCTCTGTTCCAGATGCACCAGTGTGGATGGGCAGGCTCAGCAAGGTAGGATCCAAGTGTGGAGGGGCTCAGTGTGTGGGGATCCAGGTGTGGGGTGAGAGGGTTCTGTGTGGGGTAATCTGGGTGTGGGTGGCTCAGTGGGGGATCCGAGTGCGGTGGAATCTGGATGCACAGAGACTTGTTGGGGGGTTCTGGGTGTAATGGTAATGGGACTCCGCAGGAGGGTCCAGGTGAAGGTGGTTAGGGCTCAGCAGGGGTAGGGGGGTCTGAGGTGGGGTCCAGAAGCTGGGGGAGTGAGGCTCAGTGGGGTGGGGATCCAGGTGCAGCCAGTTGGGGCTCAGTGGGGTGGGGATCCAGGTGCGGGTGGCTTGTTGGGGTGGTCCAGCTACAGGAGAGTGGGGTTTATCAAGGGGGGTTTGGAGTGCGGGGGTGAGGCTGAGCAGGAGGGTCTGGGTATGAGGAGGTCTGGATACTTGGGGGTTGGGCGGATGGGAGAGCAGCTCCCTGTACAGGGATCCCTACCCCTGCAGCTGAGGAGTGATGGGTGAAGGAGCCGGGGGAAGGGGGAGGATGCAGAGCTTCCTGCAGCTGGGGGAGAAATCTGGCTGTGGGTCTGACCCGGCCCCAGATGCCATGCAGGGAAAGAGGAAGTCCCGTCCTCCCCAGCCTAGCTGGGACAAGCAGCTGAGCCTGGCACGGGGCAGGAGCGACCAGCCAGTCTTCCCCAGTCCTGTCCCCTGTCTCACAATGATTTCTCTCTCTGCCAGCTGCCCTGGACACCCAAAACATACTGCTGGAGAGGGCCCCATGACTGCTCTTGTGGCTTCCCTTTGCTTCCCCATCAGAAAGTCAGTTTTCTGCAGGGAAGCAAAGAAATCCACAGGGAACATAAATTCTGCACATGCACAGTGGCACAGAATTCCCCCAGGAGTAAAGAATCAGACCTCTAAATTACTTTCCTAACATTCAGTATCAACCAGACGACTGTCCTCAACCTGGTATAATTTTGTCTTGTTTAAGCTGATGACTTCCCTATAATTTCCTTTTTAAAACAAAATTGTGGTGTTGCATCACTCCTACAAAGTTGATTTTTTCTAATCATGACTCTGAAAAAGACTGGTCATTTGTGGTGGATAATCAGCTGAACATTAGCTCCCAGTGTAATGCTGTGGCCAAAAGTGCTAATGTGGTCCTGGGATGCATAAACAGGAGAATCATGAGTAGGAGTAGAGAGGTTATTTTACCTCTTCATTTGACAATGAGTGACTGTTGCTGGAATACTGTGTCCAGTTCTAGTGCCCACAATTCAAGAATGTTGATAAATTGGAAAGGGTTCAGAAAAGAGCTATGAGAATGATTAAAGTATTACAAAACATGCCCTGCAGTGATAGACTCAAGGAGCTCAATCTATACAAAGAGAAAATTAAGGGCTGACTTAATTACGCTCTATAAGTACGTACACAGGGAACAAGTATTTAATAATGGGCTCCTCAATCTGGCAGATATAAGTATAACACAATCCAATGGTTGGAAGTTGAAGCTAAACAAATTCAGACTGAAAATAAGGTGTAAATTTTTAACCGTGACAGTAATTAACCATTGCAACAATTTGCCAAGAGTTGTGGATTCTCCATCATGGACAATTTTGAAGTCACGATTGGATGTTTTTCTAGAAGATATACTCTAGGAATTATTTTGGGAAAGTTCTATGGCATGTGTTATAGAGGAGTCAGACTCACTAGATCACAATGGTCCCTTCTGCACTTAGAATCTATGAACGTGGACTAAGCTTCAACATGAGCCCCTACAGCTCAAGTCTTTTTGCTCATTTTCCGACACTATGCCTGGTGGCTGCAAGAGATCAGGCTTGGGAACACTTGATATCAGTGTTGAATTGTAATACTTTCTGCTCTTGAATATGTATGCAGTGTAGTTGTAGCCGTGACGGTCCCCGGATATTAGAGAGACTCTAGAATATGTAATTCACTTTTAGTCTCCTCTCTAGTTTTATTCCATTTCCTAATGCACATTTGTGCATAAGATTGAAGCTCTAAATCCAAGTAATGAAGTGACAGCAATGATTACATACCAACCATGAATTCTGCTATATGAAAAAAATGTAGTGTTAGAGCATCCTGGCAATAAACTATTTTTACAGTTGATTAACAGTCTCAGAGTCACTTAGAGAATTAATCCAGCTCTTCATTACTTTGTATGGGACTGGAGTATAGACATGATCCCTTAAAAAAAAAAATCCATTTATAAAATGCAATTTTCAAGTGCATGCTAATTCTAATTTATTTGTATTATCCAAAACAAGTATTTTACATGTTTAAATAACTACTTTCTAATAACTGTATCAGAAAATTAAATATGTAAAAAAAGAGTTTCAAGTGACTATTACTTAAAAAGTCTGTCCACTAAACCTGAATTATTTCAGAAAACATTCTAAATGGATTTTAGAGTAGCAGCCGTGTTAGTCTGTATCCGCAAAAAGAACAGGAGTACTTGTGGCACCTTAGAGACTAACAAATTAAATGGAGAGGATTTAGGCAATTCCATACACAGTTGACACGAGTGCAAACAAATTGACAACATGGACACATAGTTGACAAGACAACTACAGTTTACCAATTTACCTGGAAGTGGAATAGGCATGCCAGGAAGGGGAACACGAAATGGAGGTACCATTACGGGTGGAAAAGCAGGAATTGTTGCTGTTGGCTGAGGTACTGCATGAGGAACTGCAGGAGGCAACGTCTGTGGGACTTGCTGGGGTACAGTCTGCACAGGTGTAGCAGAAGGAGTGGAGGTTGAAACACTAACTGAAGATGTAGCAACTGAAACACCTGAACTTGTGGTCTGGTCTTGTGTTGTCGGTGCTGATAAAAAAAAATTTAAAAAAAAGAAGAAAAGAAAAAAAACTTGTAGTTTTCTTAAATGGTACAACATGTGAACTGTAAATAAGTGAGCTTTTACTAATATTTCCCTACACAAACTATACAGTATTTCATCCCTTACTGACACACACATAAGGAAAGGATGCTCGCTGGAAAGAAAAATCCCTCTCTCCACCCTGTGACATTACATTATTCCAAAAAAAAGGTCAATTTTTATTTCTTATTTCCCTTGCCCCCTTGTTTGTATAATGTAACTAACAAATCTCTAGGACAGTGGCAAAAGTTTCTTTGCTTTGTTTACCAGAGAACTAGTATAACCTGTTTGGGTGATAAGTGAAATTTGAACCTCTGCTCAGATTGAGACAAGTAGGAGGGGAAAGTTGTACAAAACCTTGAATGAAGGAACTAATGCGCAAAGAATATTGTTGTTTAAACAATATAAAGGCAGCAGTTCTGCATGTGCATGTACATGACAACAGTTTGATATTCTTAGATTATGGCCATGCAACTGTGATTCAAGTGTGGAGAAATATCTGCACAAAATTTGTATAATCAAGGAAAAGTTTAGAAAAATGCTTTCAGTCATGGGCTGGAAGAATTCTAGTGGCCTTCAGTGCCTCCTAGTGGGTAAATGAATATTAAACATTCAGTTCAACATTTCTTGCAGGATGATTCAAGTTAGCTTTCAACAGGATGCTAATGTTGCATATCAATGTGTGGAGTAAAAGGAGGAAAAGTGGCAGCCAATGCGTTTCAAGAATTAAACTTATACTAGGCATCATTTTGATTTATTTTACCCTGGAAAGCAATGTTATAAATTTACAAGATAATACAGTGCAATGATGGAGAAATATCACTTTTCTTGTACTAAGTGATTATGTTTAGATATTAAATTTATGTCATAAAAACAGAAAAACAGATTGCAAGGAAATTATTTTCTTCAGTATTTATTAAAGTGATTAACTCACTTTTTCAATAATATAAAGATACTTAATATTTAGTATATATTTAATACTATTCATCTGCAATTCTAAAAGGGTGAGAGAGTTATTCCTGTTTTAAAGGTAGGGAAACTGAGGCATACAGAGATTAAATGATTGCTCAAGGTCACACAATAAATCAATTGCACAGTCAGAATTAGAACCCAGCTCTTCTGACGCCCAATACTTTACAGACTGATTCTGAATGCTGAGAAAATTGATCTTTTAAAACACAAGCTTTAGCACCTGACCACAGGCATCAACATTAACAGTCCTTCCTTAAGAACAAAAGCAAAATTCATTAGTGCTTGGTGTCAGGAAATTACATTTTTGGCAGCCAAGAGTCAAGTCAACTTCTACATTATTCTATTAAGTTACATAAAAGGGGCCTCAGTATAAAGATATGCCTCAAAAGCAGAGAAAACTACAGTGAGTAAACTATGGATCTCAAAGCTGATATGGAATGGAACCTAAACATTTGTCTGATTCTTGACCATTGTTACATATTTAACAAATGGCTACACAGCCTATAAAATAATGCCCTACATACTACACTTAAATATATCAAGAGACTAGGCTAGGTAGTTACCTTCCAGCTTTCTAGATCTAGTGAAATAATTACATAATAATGACTCAAGATGAAGAGTCAACTGTAAGATTATTTGCTATGGCTACAATCTAAATATATACATTCTACAAGGTCAGTCCCTTATTCCCTTGGGCTGCTGTGAGCTGGAAACATTGTAGTGGCTCAGTTCATGTGAAGAGCAATAGTTTTCAAAACTACAGTTCATGGATCATTCATCAATAAACCTCAGAACCCTCTCCTGGTTTGTTCTGTCACGCAAACACAAAGGAACTGAAGCACTGGGATGCTCTGCAGGATGAAAAAGCAGAAGTTCTGCTCTACAACAATCAACTCGGCTTGTTCCAGAGGCAGCACTGACATGTCCACCTCCTCAACCAGAAGGGCAGGTTGGATCCTGGAGACAGGTAAGATGGGACACCTTGGTGGAACAACCCCTCCCTCCAAAATAATGTCTGCCCTTTTCTAAATAAAGCATTTGCAAGTTTTGTTGGAAGTATATCGATAACCAAACAGACGCTTAATAGTTATTTGAGAACATATGGGTAGCAGCAGCAGAAAAGACAAATACCTAGCAAAGAAGAGGGGCCACAGGTCACATTAAGTCTTTACTACAGTATTTACTCTAAGGTAGCATTTGTTTCCCACTCTCACAAAGCCTAAGAAACCCACAGTAACTCACTGGAAATGGTCTGTGAAATTGAAGTGGCTGTGGTTGTAGTGGAGGTCATGGAGGACTGAGGACTTGACGATGTGGATGGAGACACTGAAGATGCAGGACTACTGGTTGTTGGTGTGGAGGCACCTTGGGCTTGTGCCTGCGCCTGGGCTTGTGCCTGAGCCTGAGCCTGGGCTTGGGCCTGGGCCTGGGCTTGTGCAGCAAGCATTGGTGTCAGTTCTGATTGCTGAATAACCTTTACCCCATCTGGCTTGGTCCATGCAGACTCACGCGTTCGTGCATTATAGAAATAGACCTATAGAGTAGAAAAGTCATTATCAAACAATAGTATGTTTTCACAATGAAGGGCCTAGTCCCCCATTCTCAAATTATGAGGGCAAAAATTAATATCTCTATGAATACGTATTAATAAAAGGAAATGGCTCTGTTTTGCCTATCTATTCAGCATGACAAAAACAAAGACTCTTACTATACACAATCTGCAGCCTTGATGGCCAAGATCAACACACCACCACCACCAATGCAAACAAGATCATATGTGGTAACAGTCACTCACTATTCCTGATAGCTCCTTGTTGTATTTGGTTCCAGTCTTACCTTGCCATCTGGAGTCTTGTTTTCTACCCATATCTCTTCAGTGGGTGGCATAGTTGGAGTTCCCGGGGCAGTGACAGGTGGCATCCCTGGAGGAAACATCATACCAGGAGGCGGCGGCATGCTACCCATGGGAGGAGGCATGAATGGTGGCCTCTGTGTAAATTCATATAATAGTAACAATGTCACAGGACTGCCATATACAGTTTGTGTTCATATTTAGAATCACTTGACTGCACAGCCTCAGCAAGAAAAGACTTAGCAACAGTGTTCAGTGCTGTTCTAATACAGTCCACTGAAACAATGTTGCAATCTCTGGCCTGTTCTACACTTAAAATTGAGATTGACATAGCATACTCAGGGGTTATGAAAAATCCTCAGCCTTGTGGAAGAATGCTTCCATCCACCTAGCTCCGTTGCTTAGGGAAGTGGAATGCCCCCAGTGACAGAAAATCCCCTTCCATCTACAATACAGGGTTAACAGTGGCAGACCTACAGCATGCAGCCATGCCACTGTAGTGCCCATAGGGTAGCCATGGCCTCAAATAGCAATACCAAGGCAAGGGCCACATCTTATGACAAGTCAAACCATAGCACAGAGAACAGCTTTAACAAATACTTCAAGCCTTGAGGTATAAACTAAATGCAGAGCAGCAAAGAAGTGGCTGTAAAAAGAGAAGAGGCATGGGGTGGAATAAATGATTCCCCCCTCATTGAAGAGAGGAAATAAAAAAAATATCCCTACAGGAGATGCAAGTGAAAGAAAACAGGAGAGAGAACGTGCTGAATAACTGTCTTCCAGGCATCAATAGCTAGAAATCATTTGAATTCACTGTAAAGCCACAAGACAATTATACAATGAGATATACAAAGTGGGGTATGAGCAGGTGTACCACTGCAGAAGCAGACAATTCATTACAATCCATTATACCTTTTAATTATCTACCTGCTAATGGTTTACTATTAAGACATTAAGGGGAAAGTGTACAAATTCAACAAAGTAGAGATATCAGCTGTGAATTTTTTTTTTTTTGTAAAGCACTTAACAGATGATCCAGCAGAGGATTAGTTCAACTTAAGTCATTATTACTAAATGTCCAAAGGTAGCAAAAAAAATCTTAATTTTAAAATGCTTAATGCTAATTGGATACACCCCAATATAATTCTAAATTCTTATTTCATGCATGCCCCCCATAGTACGTGAACTTTTAACATAGTGATACTCAGACCTCGGTGGTTCAGGAGCCAAACTAGAGATCAACATTACCCAAAAGAGCATCAATAGTGTGAATTCATTGCTTCATTTACTATACATTCATATTTAAACAGTAATGCAGGGGAAATATTTAGTTTATATATATTCTCACAGAAAAATGACTGACCAGGTATTACTGTTTTTATCAATTACAATTGGTTAACAACATTATAAAAGCATCCTGATTGGTTAATAATTGAATCACAGTGCTTTAATATCATGTGTTGCAAAGAGCTGCAGGAGACACATTAAAGAGCCACTCATGGCTTGCGAGCCTCAATTTGAGTATCACTGTTTTAGCATAATCGCAAAGCAACAACTCTCCTGTTGGTAAGACTGAGCATTTCTTTCTGTTTAAACTATCGACTATTCTAAGTATTCTAAAAAACATATGTATATTCTGATTGTTTTGAAATTTGCTGTGCTAGATAATGTAAGCAGTTCAAATTTGGGGTCATTTGAGCCAGGGCTCCCCAAAATACAGACCCCCAAAACACAGCATTTTACAAAATCATCTGGTTAGTCTACTTTTTTTGTGAAAAACTGGACTCAAACTAAGGCTCTGATCCGTCCCAAACTGATCTTAGTCACTCAAGATTTATCTTAGCATGTGCCCACCCCCACCCCCCAGCCCTTTCAGGAAGCAATACTGAAAAAGTTATTGAGGGCAACGTTTGTAACTCTAGTTTGGCACAAGCATCATGGATGCATTTAAACATATATATGCTGCGAGACATGGGACTCTGTAAAAACAGGTCTGCAGGCAGCCTACTGTGAGAGTGAATAGGTGGCTCAAGATGACATGCTGTCATCACTGGACCTTAGCTGCACCCAGACACTGAGAGTTTAAGGCCTACCCTAAGCAGTTTTCAGGAAATGCATTTTGTGCAAGTTCCTTGCTCTCTGCCAGCATTTTGCAGGGCTCTTTAGAACATTTCACCCAGAGGTCCAAATTTCTGGTTTAAAAGTGATATTTTAAAAATGCTATGAAATCTACATGTAAACCCTGCTTTTACTTTAAAAGTAATGGCAAGAACTTAAAAACAAGACAGTGAAGATAGTAGGTGGTTAGGGTAACGTAATCATGACTCAGTCTTCACCCTTTCCTGAACAATGGAATTTAATGCGATCAAAGGAAAGCATATCCTGTGTCATCTGGTCAAGGGTTCTTGATACACAGCTCCACTAGCATGAGCTGATCATAACTTCTTCTGATTCTTATAACTTTTTTGGTGGAGAGCAAGGGAATATGGAATGTGTGTGTATGAATCAGAGTACTGCCGGGGGGGTTGGGAGGGAGTGGGATGAAGGCTCTGCCCCTCAGGGTTGTGCTCTGGCACAGCTACTGAGGAGACAGAACACCCTAGATACCGACCCTTATTTATGTACGAGATCAAACACTAAGTCTTTGAAAACCCAGTTGGATGACTTAAAGCTTTGATAAAAAAAATGGGTTTCCAAAAAAAGTATTTTTTTTCTACAATTCCTCAACAAATAAGGGATCATCCTCTGAAACCTTTGCTCTCTGGCAGCTCAGAAGCACGAACAGAACATTACCATAAAGGGTGGGCAGTTGGGCACCTTCCCCTCTAGTGACGTGCTTGGAGGGAAAAGAAGTGGAGTCATCTGCGCACAATACTCCTCCCTCCCTTAAAAATACACCTACAATTCCTTCCCATGACTCCTCCACTAGCCTGAGAATCCAGAACTCCCCACCTTCCCCATGCTACCTCCAGCAGTGGGAAAGGTGCCAGGCTCACCCTCCTAAACACCAGGAAATACACAGTTAAGGTATATGCCATCACCACAACACAATCTTAATTCCATTCTCTCTGAGCAAAACTGCAACCCACCCATAACACACATACAAGCACTCTATCCTTGGAGATGCTGCAGAACACTCAGGGAACTGCACCTACAAGCACTGTAGGACAAAGTACATCTCTTTGCTAAGACAAAACTCTGGTTTAAGTCAGGCATAGCAAACATGAGCTAACTACATAGACTGAGCCCACTCCAGAGCAACTAACCCAAATTTGCTAAATATTACAATCCTTTCACTAGACTGGTGGCAATCCACATGACAAGATAACTGTGCACCACTACTGACACACCTCTACAGAACCAGTGTTGAAATTAGGCCTGCTTGATCCCTCAAGTTACATATGCACCTCTTTTCATATCACAGTAACAACTCTTCCAAACTGCTCCAACTAAGCGATCCACCATTCAATATAACCACATCTAACACAAGGAATTCAGCTGGAGTGCATGCAGATAAATGTTGGAATTAAAAACTGTTGATCACAACACAATGGGACAGTCTCCTTTTTATTCTTCACGTCTTATTATAGCACCACCCTTACTAAACCATTTCAAGTGGCTAAGGTCAGCTCCAAGGAGCAGTTATATTGCGGGGGTGGCATGTACCTTAACTTTCATGGTTTTCTGAGGTTTAATTTGTGTTAGCTCTACTCTTCATTACCTGGTTTTCAGAAGTTAGAGTGTAGTTGAACTTGATGATCTGGAAGGACACCAGGCACTACCAGAGAATTTTACCTCTGCACTACTGGAGTTTTTTGTCAATGAACTCATCTTAACTGTGCACATGATTCCATTATGTTTGCCTTTCGGAACAATGTGAAGGATCTTCTATTAGAGGTATGTTTGAACAACATGCAGTGTGATAAAAAAGGGTAAGATCAAAACCCAATTAGTTTTAACATTTACTTTTTTCTTTTCCTGCTGTAATCACTTCTGAATGCTGCTGAGTTCTTACCACATCCATCCACATCAAAAACAGAAAACCAAACCCATACACTCTTTACCTGTAGATGTGGAGGCCCCATTGGTGGAGGAATCCCTCCTGGAGGTGGCATTGGAGGCATATTAGGATCAAATGGAGGACGTCCAAAGGGAGGACGAGGTGGTGGAGGTGGACCTCTCATCATGCCGAAAGGTGGAGGTGGGCGCATGAGAGGTGGTGGACCCCTCATGACAGCGTTTGGTGGGGGAGCTGGGCCACGAAATCTCAGTGCTTGCTGCTGAGCCATTCTGTGTGTAAAGCCAGAAGAAAACTATTTGTGTTTGCTGATTAGTTGCAGGATAGATTAATTTGTGTTACAAAAAGTGAAACTAGTAAAAGCAGAAGGACATGACAAATTTTGTCAAGTTTCAATAGATAAAATTAAAAGTACGAGTACTTTAATAGGTTTTCCCCCCTCACAATTTAAATTCATTAGAAGTCTGAATGTGATTTTTTTCACTCATGAAAATGAGTGACCTTTAGATTGAACCATCTTAGTACGGACAGGCACTGTGCAAGCTTCCCTCACACAGCTCTGCCAAAGCACTTCAAACATGACCTGAATCACCGTGTCTATCTATAGTCACATCTTAGGCCTCTCGAGCAATGGCTGCCGATTGTGCCAAGGTTTTTAGTTATTTCATAATGTGAATGAGTGTCCACCAGGGACTTGGATGAGACCATCTGCATCCTTTTCACTTATGACCTAACGGAGGATTTGAACTCTGATCTGCAGTGATGAAAGGCTAATATACTAAACCCAATGTGCCACCCAGCCCACTACACAGGCAGCTTAATAAGTGTATATATAGAAAAAAACGTTCACCTTTGCAACCAACAAACGCTCTTCTGATGCTCTCAGGAAAACAATTTTGCCCACCATTTAGTGCCAGTGCAATACCAATGTTGGCATGATGACTCAAAATTGAAAAAAACAAAGGTTATAAGGTGGTGAACGGCAAAACACATGCAACTCAGCACTCAGATTATATAGACTTCTACTTCTGCTGATTTAAGTTTCATATAGCACCTACAGTTTTAGAAACCAGGTGCTGTTTTACATAGGTTTTATAGAGGCAGCCCACTAAGTGGTACATAACTGACCATTGCTACTAACCCTGAGATGCCCAAGAGCAAAACAAAATTAATGTGCTTTGAATGATGCCCCAAAGATCACCAACCTCTAACAGTGATGGAGCACCAAAGGGAGCAAATTCTAAATATAGGGGCACTCTTTACTGAGAAAACTCTTCTGTCAGGCCTGGAAAACATCATCCTAGGAACTGACAATAACAGCATCCCAGCTAATCTTAACGGTGATGAGACAGAAACAAGGCAAATGACAGTCAGAGAGCAAGGTCCCAAACAGCATAGGGATTTATCAGCAACACCATGAATTGTACTGTTAAGACAGAACTATAGTTTTTAGAACACCTATCGCCATAACACCAGGTTATGTGCTCCCAGGAGCCATAATGTTTCCCTAGTCTCTGTTTGCCAGAAGCTGGGAATGGGCAACAGGGGATGGATCACCTGATGATTACCTGTTCTGTTCATTCCCTCTGAAGCACCTGGCATTGGCCACTGTCAAAAGACAGGATACTGGGCTAGATGGACCTTTGAACAAGTATGGCAGGTTCTTCTGTTCCAATTAAGTAAGGCCAGGAAAGCTATTTTACCACTCATGCTGGCATTAGTTCCTGTCTGTTGTACCGGGCATCAGAGAGCGTTACTTTTATTTCAGATTTCTGTTGCGGTACACCCCAATCAGGATGAGAGTCCCAGCGTGTTGGTTGTATTTCAACCCCCCCCCCCTCCCAAAGACACCACTCCTGCCCCAAAGGATGGACTGCTTTAGTTCTAGCTTTATACAATTACTAACAAGGGGGCAACTCTGCAGTTTGGGATGCATGGAAGGAGAACACGAGTCAGAGAAAAATCAAACATGACAGCCACAGCTGCATTTGCCCCTTGAGGCCCTGGACACCGTGCGTCTCGCCAGGGGACACAGCTAGTGGTGTGCTTAACCTACAGGCAGCATGCTGCAGGGAGCTCAAACGAGTGGCCAGGCCCGGTTGCGCTGGGAGCAGAGAGGGGTCGCCGGGCCCAAAGGGGAAGCACGGAGGGGGTGGGAAGGAAGGATCGGCGGGGAGGAGAGGGCACAGAGGGATGGCGGGGCCCGGGGGAGGGTCTGCGGAGGTAGAGAGGGAAGGAGCTGCCGGACCCAGGGCTCACGGGGAGATTGCCCGGCGCGCCATGGGGGAGAAGCGGAAGACTCTGCGAAACCACCGCGAGTGAAGGGTGGGTGCGCGGGACCACAAGGCCCTGGGGGAGGAGCCTGCGGCCGCAGGGGTCGGTGGGGGAGGCCCGACGGCCAGGCCGCAGCGCGGGGCGTGTGAAACCCCGCGCTTCTCTGTCCCTGAAGCCCCGCCGGGCTGCGCTACCTGATCTCATTATTGTACCGCTCCGCCGCCGCCCCCGCGTCTCCCTCGCCGCCGCCAGCCCCAGCGCCGCCACCGCCTCCTCGGTCCGCCATCGCCGCCTCACCAGCCCCGCCGAAGCCGCCACCTCCGCCGCCAGGCCGCGCCCCACGTCATTGGCTACCAGGACCGTCGCTCACTACACACATGGGCGGGACCTAACCGGCATTGGCCATCGCGCCCGCCGACTTTGAACGAGGGAAGTAAGGGAAGCTGTGATTGGCTGCGAGAAGCCGTCCCGCTCCCCTCAGTGGCCCAGGCGACCCATGTCACGTGACCCGTGACCCGTGGGGAGACCGGAACTGACCTCACATAAGATGCCAGCCAATCATAAAAACGGAAAGAAAAATACAACCAATTCAAAGATGGGGCAAATAGGATACTAACCAATCAAAGATCAGAATGAGCTATGTGCCGGCCAATCAAAAAACACAATGACGTAGCATGCAACCAATCATAAAAGGGGATAGGCTCCAACTCTAACCAATCGGAGACCCTCTGGCAGTAGCGAGCGTGCCAACGAAGCAGGAAACAAAGTTAAGATATTCTAGCGAATCAGGGAACAGAGTTAGGATATTGCCAGCCAATCAGCGAGCGGTATTAGCATTATTGTCTGATTCACAGGCTAAATGCGTGAGTTACTGGCAGGGACGCGCAGGGCAGGTGGCGGAGGCGGGCTGGGTGGCTGCACCTGCTGCAGGGGGTGATTGCCTCTCGGTGCCCCAGCAAGGAGGGCAGCACCCTGGACTCCTAGAGTCGGGCTGGCTGCCCGGGGAGTTCAAGGTGCTGGGGCTGGCCTATGGAGAAAACCATTGACAGGCTGGCAGCTGCCCCACGGCCTGCCCTAGATGCCAACACTTGGCACCAGGGGTCATTCTGCTGGAGGGGCCTGACTGGGGAAGCAAAGCTCCCATATACTGAGTGAGTGTCCCCGACTCCTATGGCAACCAGCTCCCTTTTTGAGGATTGCAGAAGGACAGGGATATCTTTAGTTGATTTCTTATGACTAGATTTCCTTTAGTTGAGGCATAGTGCTTCTGCTGCAATGCCCCGAGAAGCGAGGGGGAGGATAAGTAACAGCCCCCATCCCACCTTTAAAACCCCACATATGCTTGGGATCATAACCTTATTGGCACTTCCATGCTCCCCTTCCTACATTGCCATGTCTAGGAAATAGCGGTATTGGGGGTGCAGCAGGACCCCCTGGCTTGAAGTGGTTTCCATCATATACAGGGTTTACATTTTTGTTCAATAGCTTTCAGCACCCCACTATAAGAATTGTTCCAATGCCACTGACCATGTCACGTTTAATTTCATTTGCACACTCTTTGGGACCAGCTGTCTTTTGGAAAGTACAGTTTGGAGTGCTTGAAAAATAAAATCAAGATAAAATAACTCCACCTGCCCAGCAACAATAAATACAAAATACATAAATCAATTTTGTGTGTGTGTGAAAGAGACGGAATATATAGGAGACCGTCCAGCACAGTATATGTTAGAAGAGTATCTGCACAGTAAATTTCAAACTAAGGCTAAACATTGTTCCTGTAAAATTACATTGTATGACAGGTGGGTAACTGTACATACAAGTGGAGTAACTGCAACTTATTTTTGTGTCCAAAACCAGTTTTGATATCCATGATCCCTAATTCTAACCCATGCTATCCACGTTTAAAAGAATTGCCCCTATAGGTCTAAATTCTCATCTCAATTCACTAAGTATAGCTAGCAAGTAAAAATTATAAATATATTGAAATGCAGGATTATCTATCTAAGTGAATGAGAAAGTACCACTTCTTCTTTTAAACAAACAGTCTTTATTAATTAAGGCCCTCACTTCAGAAGAATGTGTATCCCCTATGTTTGGTTTAGGCCTTAATTATCTGTGCACCATTGGGTTAGCTGAGGTATCTCAAAACTCTTCCTATAGTTTTCTGGTAGTATAAGTGTGTGGGGAAAACCAGCATATGTTATGCACATAAGTAATACCCTGTTTACAGCTTTGGGTATTAGAACCTATTGCTGAGAAAGGAAATGTTTGCCAAAATAGTGGGATTATCTCCCTGCAAGTGCTATGGGATTTTTAATGTGCACATCCCAGACACAGGCAGACAAGAACTGTAGTTACCCGTGCCTCGCCTTTTCCAGTTACATCCCCAACCCTTTCCCCTAAGAGTGTAGCTAATAATTTGAAATTTATACATGAACTGGATGTATTACCTTCAGCTACACACAGTCAGATTAGTAAAATGCTAGCTAGAACTAGCTAGTTAATAATAGGTCTTGCTAAGAACAAAATAACCCTGACAGCTGACATAAGAAATGTTGCCTATGGGAAATGAAAAATTATATGCTATTGCAAATACCACCCACAACCACCCTGTGATGGGTTGGACCCCTTAGGATGCCATCTGATGTGCTAAGATACCACTGAGCCCACCTATTATGTCAGCCTGGGATCCTTTTTACCTGTCTTGCTGCAGAATGAAACAAGAGATCAGTTCTGGAAAGGCTCAGCTTAAGGGACTTGCCCCAGCACTCAGGTGTCCACCTCCCTTGGAGTGCAGACCCAAAGGTATATTATGAAATCCGCCTCCTCCTTCAAGGTGGAGGAAGGTATGCACAACTTCTTGCCTCCCCCCAGTTAGAAGTTACAGAAACTGGGTTTAATAAGAAACCAAACATATTTTATTAACTATAAAAGGCAGATTTTAAGTGGTTAAAGGGGTACAGAACAAACAGAACAAAGTAGATTACTAAACAAATAAAACTAAGCTTGTTTCACTAAAGAAATTGGTTACAAATAGTAATTTCTCACCCTAGATATTGTTACAGGCAGATTACAGAAAGTCTTGAAAGGCAGATGCACTGGCCTCCAGCTTGAAACCTCAGTTATTATTACTCATTAGCTGGACGTCCTTGCAGCTTGGGCTCAATCCTTCTTCTACCCCCATTCAGTTCTTGCTTCCAGATCTTTTTCAGTGTCTCTTAGGGTGGGGAGGCAGAGGAGAACCATGATGATGATGTCACTCCCCTGCCTTATATAGCTCTTGTGTAAGGCGGGAACCCTTTGTCTTCCAGTAGAAAACCACTGGCATTCCAAAAGGGGAGGAGGAGTATCCAGTACCAGGTGACTCGGATCCATGTCTCTGCATGGCTGTGGCAGCCATTGCTCATAGGCCTGTCTCCAGCATCCACAGGAAGACTAAGGGCTAGTCTACACTGGCAACGTTAAAGCGCTGCCGCGGCAGCACTTTAACGTGGCTTGTGTAGTCCTGGGAGAGCGTGCGCTAAAAAAAACACTCCACGAGGGGCATAGCTACCAGCGCTGGAAGCTCGGCTCCCTGCGCTGGTGCACTGTCTACACTGGCTCGTTACAGCGCTGAAACTTGCTGCTCTCAAGAGGGTGTTTTTTCACATCCCTGAGAGAGAAAGTTGCAGTGCTGTAAAGTGCCAGTGTAGACAAGCCCTAAGCCCTTTCACAGTCCGTTGTCTCTGCTACTGGCCAATTAGCCTGTCTGGCTTTTCCATTGTTGCACCTGAAGGTTCGGGGTGACACCCAAAGTGATACATTTGAAATACAGATACATAGTTAATATTCCTAACTTCAGATACAGAAATGATACAGTCATACCAATTGGATAATCACATTCAGTAAATCATAACCTTTCCAATGATACCTCACGAGCCATCTTGCATAAAGTATATCTCAGTTATGTCATATTCATATCATAAGCATATTTTCATAAAGAATATGGAGTGAAACGTCACAACAGCCATCCTGTATTTGCATTGAGCATGAGCTCAAGTTTGAATACACAGCAAGTGACTGTGCTAAAAGGATCCAACTCATGGCTCTGTAAATGACTAGAGATCCCATAATTGGAGTATGAGATGATTGACCTGGAACCAAACTCTCTTCCAATTTTCTACTATATTTTGCTGCAAAAGCTGATTTATAAGATACATTTTTCTCCCATCTTCCCTCAGATCAAAATTCCACCACCCCATTGCTCCTTCTTCTCCAGGCAACTGGTTTCCTGCAGTTTTGGGAACAGAGAGTCCAAAACCCCATTACTATTTCCCAAAGATTTTCAGAATAGCCTTCAAGGAGATTTTTAGATTAGGTTTTTCAAAGCTTTCAATACATTTAACATATAAAACAAATGTTTAATTAGAGCTGATCTGAGCTGCAAAGATGGGGCTTATTGTTTGTATCACCATAACAACTGGGAGCCCCAGTCAAGGATCCCATCATTCTAGGTGCTGTACAATACTGAACAATCAGGTGGTTCCTGTTCCAAAGAGCCTACATTCAAACTATCCCAAAATTCTGGGATGCGAGGATTAATGCAGACCCATTTCCTGTTTACCATCTGAGTTTTGGTAGTGGAAAAGTTTGTATTTTCCTTTCCATACTGCACCACACTTCCTGTTTGCTTTCTTTGCAATCAGAAACAAGCTGCAATGGTGACCACCATTGGAAGATGCTCTAAAGAAAGAATGTGATGGAGGGGGCAGATTCCTTGGGGAAGGAAGAACTCTGAGACTAGACTCCTTCAATTCTGGCCTATTTGTTTTCTTTTTCATGCAGATTACAGAAATCAAAGATGTCTTGTTACAGGGATGTACAAGGTTCCATACAAACTCTTCTTTGTAATTCTCCTTTCAGTCACTAGGAGATCCCCTTGAACAGCTGTGTGAAAAGCTATCAAGTTTCACTCCATTCAGATGCAGCAAAACTTCACAGATTCCTGGTTATGGTTAATTTTATTTATTTATTATATGCATGTTAGGAATAATAGATATGTTCTTAAAAATAGGTTCACTTATGTGGCACCCTTCATCTGTAGTTCCCAAAGAGCTTTTCAATTAATTAAGCCTCACAATTCCCATGTGAGGTGCACGTCATGATGCCCATTAATATTAAGACCTTCCATTAAAGATATTTTCCAGCCTGTCCCTACATTATTACCATACCCCCAGGCAGACAGCACGGCATCACATCAGGTTCAGATGCTTTTCTGGACAACCACAGATGCTAGAAAACTAATTACAAATATGAAAGTACAAGATATGTGTGTATTGACTGACAAACATGCCCCAGGTCAGGTGTTATCATGTTCTTATGATACATACCCTCTTAAAATTCCCATAGAACAAAAATCAGTATACTAAAGAGGTGCCTGATCCCAAATCCAGCTCATCCAAACAGCTCTGAACTTTGAGTTGGTTTGAAATCT